AAAGGATATATAGAATCTCATTATATGAGAATTCAACTAAATAAGATTTCTATATCCTTGCGGAAGCTTTGGCACTTGAAAGAGGCACGCGAGTGGCATACTTATGTGTATATTTATTCCCTCTATCGTGAGTATATAAAAACCTATTCTCAGTCGTATACAGGAGTCTTTTCATACCACTTCACATAGGCAAAAAAGAAATGAACTCTCACTAAAGTTGTGTCACAAAATATATAAATCTCAATATAAGTTAACTATATATATATATATATATCGAAACATTTTTCAGCCACGTATTTTCTCAGTCGAGCAATTTGCATTTTCTGCGAAATCCAATATATTCTTCATAGATATAACATTATTATATCAACTAAAATAAACTTTACATATATATCTTAAATTCAAAAAATAATATATATATTTAAATAAATGTTCCTTTTTTTAAATTAAAATTTTTATTTTTTTGGTTTGCTTTCTTTTGAATTAAATAAAATTTAATCAAGAAGAGATTTTTATAAAAATAAAAAAAGAATAAAAAAAAAATGTCAACAAGTTTATTATGTAGATAAAATAATAAGCGATTAGTAAGAAGGATTTATAGACAAAGATTTATCGTCTCACAAGTTGCTTAACACGGTCCTTTTAAATATATATGTATATATATATATATGTTGACCGAAATACCCAACGAATAAACGAGGTTTGTTTAAAGGGCCTTTGTGTGTTTGCGCATTAACGAGCGATGCAAAACCGTCTCTGGCAAATATTTAAGTCCTTTACGAGCGACGTTCGCAAATAATTGCCCCGCCGCTTGAATGTCCTGTCTCATTGCTTCAATGAGCGTCTAATAATTCATATATATACGTATACACTTTGAGGGGTATACATTTCTATGTTATCCTTGTCATTCAAAAATTGAATCAAACAATTATATAATCTTTAATTTCTTATTAATAATATTTTATTAATAAAATAAAATAAAATTATTAGTAATTTTTTATTAATAATTATATATATTATATATTTTTTCACATGCAGAATATAAAAAAAATTTATTTTGAGAGGAAATTTTTTCCTCGATTTTTTCAAAAAAATTTCTCAAGGTGCATAAAACTGCGAGATAGTATAATTCATTTAAAATATCCATTTATAATCAAATTATTATTAAATCACAGTTTTCACTTAAATAAATTTACAATTCTCAATTTATTTTATGTGCTTCAACTTTCATGTGATTAAATTTCCATTTAAGCGGAATTTCCATTAAATCAAATTTTCATATATATATTTAGACATTTCTAAATATGTTTTAAAAAATCGAATAATTCATATATTTTACTGTAATGATTCAAATAAACGGTTATTTGATTAAATATATATATTTAATATTATAACAGCAAAAAATTATTATTTGATTTAATTATAAATGGTATTTGTTTCAATCACAAATAAAATAATCGATTATTATAATGTATCGAATAAACAATATTTTGGTTACACATCGATTTTGTATTGATCATTTATCGATGTTACATTAATTATTTATCGATTTTACATCGATTATTTATCGACCTATCGATTTTACATCGATTGTATATCGATGTAGTACCGATTGTGTATCGAATACACAATATTTCGATTACACATCGATTACGTATCGATTATTTATCGATATATCTATTTTGCATCAATTATATATCGATTATCCATAAATATATCAATCATATATCGATTATACAATTAGATATATTGATCATATATCGATTATGTATAAATATATCGATTAATTAATTAATTGAAGTAGATAATTTTTGTTGTTGTTATGTAATAAACGCGAAAAATTATGAATACTTTTCTATAAAATTTAATTCATGTGGTAATCTTATGAATAGAATTAAAAAAAATCCGCGGCTTAACCGTGAAAAAGAGTTTATAATCTCATCATAATAAAAGAAGCGAGTCATCGAAATTGAGAGAGAGAGAGAGAGAGAGAGAGAGAGAGAGAAAGAAATAGAGGCGAAAGGGTGTCGATTGGTCTCATGTGGTTCGTTTTCATGGCCCCCAGCTGCGGCCCTGTATATATCACTCCCAAAGATTCACTATGTGTTATATATGTTACGTTTGAAAGTGCCGACACGCTTGTCGTTGATTAATAATCATGGACTTGGAAGGGTCGTTTCTCTCCACACGCAGTGATCATGTCTTTTCAAATATTCTTTCTTCTTGACCTTTGTACTTTGATCCTTTTTTTTTTTGTTTATAACTATATGTTTTTTTTTTTAAATTAACATTTCTTCTGCTCCCATAAACCTGTCTTTTCAAATAAAATATACGATTAGCATAGACAATTCAATATTTTTTAAATGTATTCGAAAATTAAATTCCGAAAAAAATCCGGAAAGAATCGAACTCGGGTCAGTATCACCGAGTACAGTAGCCACACGGCCGTCCCACGGTTTAATTTTTTATTTTTTTTCCACTTTTTTGCATTTTAATATTACAGTGAAATCCACGTTTCCGTAAAACAGGAAAATTATGATATAAAAAATTACCCACATAGAAATCTAGCTTACCGATTGATGGCAAAACAGTTTTTTGAAAAATATAAATACAAAAAAAATTACTGACATAGAAATCTACCTTACCGACCGATGGTAAAAAAACCTTTTTTTTGGAAAAAGAAAATATAAAAAATTACCGACACATGAATCTACCTTACCGACTGATGGCACAACGGTTTTTTGGAAAATGAAAATATAAAAATTACTGACATAGAAGTTTACTTTACCGACTGATGGTATGGTAGATTTCTATGTCGGTAATTTTTTATATTTTCATTTTTTCCTGTTTTATCACCTGTCGGTAATGTAAATTTCTATGTCGATAATTTTTGATATGTTCGTTTTTCCTGTTTTACCATCAGTCGGTAATGTAGATTTTTATGTCGGTAATTTTTTATGTTTTCATTTTTCAAAAATGTTTACCCTAATGTGAAATAATACTAATGATTACAAAGCGCTCGCAAATGAAATTCGATTTTGTAAACTTGGTAAAAAACTGCTATTTTAAGGATTAAAACTTAATTTAATACAAAGAAACCCACGTATATCGGACCCGCATAATTCGCATTCACGCTTACATCGGATTTTTTTCCAGTCCCTTGAAATGCGAATTATTATTAATAACATAACGAATTGAAAACGAAAACATTTTTTCTTTCTAAATTTGTAAAAACGGAAAAAAAGATTGACATCATAAGTTTATTGGATCTAGTTTATAATAAAGTATTTGATAAACTAACTCGATACTTGCAACAAGGACATTTTCTCTATTTTTCAAAAAAAAAAAAAAAGTCTAGTGGTTTAATAAATTTCATAACCTGTAGTTATATATTTCAGTATATTGGGAACCTGTTTCTCGTTTATAGAAAACGCTTTCGCGACGTTCTTGGTGTCAATCGACATCCTTCAAGATATCTTTCTTTTTTTTTTTACTAAAATATACTGAACATTCATCAAAATAAATTATATATCTTTTTAAAGAAAAATGAAATTTTAATTACATATATGCTAAATAAAATCCTCTTACAATTTTTCTTGTACTAAAAAATTATTTCATATATATATTTTATAATAAACTTCTTTTTTTCCATATACAAATTTAAAATTAAATAAAATAATAAAACAAATACGATAGAAAATATTAAATTTTTGATGTATATATGTAGATATGAGGCGTTAACTTGATGGATATAAGAAGAGACTAAATACGAGCTATTCACAACGTTTGTTGACGACCTTCCGTTCCTTGTTAACAAGTAATTTGCTCCATTGGACTCTTGTTCTATAGCCGTGAAAGAGAGATTGAAAGTATTGACCGCACAAGAGACAGAAAATATATATATATATAAAGACTTTGACAAAAACTAGTTGGACGTGATCTTGTGTATTCTTTGGACCCCAGACACCCTTTCAACCTTCATACGTCAATCACCTTATGTATCAGATGAAATCAAACATTAAGAAAAAAAAAAAAAAAAAAAGTAGATTAGCTACTTTGTACTGATTTCTTTATATTGGATCAAATTCCAAAAAGTTTGTATTTAAAAAAAATTTATTTTCCTTTTTTAATATAGGTTAACTTTTTTTATTTATTTTATATATTTTAAAATTCTATGAGAAATTTTTATATATAACAAAAACAGCGGCTATTTATTTTGAATTTGTTTTTTTTTTTTTTTTATTATTACAAAAAACAAGTATTACGTTAATAATTATACCAGCACCTGATGTGCCTTGCCGGCTTATTTAATTTGACGATCGATGTAAGTTTCTTGTGGTACATTCAAGTGAACCATAAATTGATTGAAAGGATATGTACATTCAAGAGTGGTATTATATTAGATGAAAATCTATAATTACAAGATGATGCGCGACCGTGACATAGGAGAATGATGCCGCAACACCTGAACTTTTATATATTGTCGTTTCAATTACAAGTGATCTTTAATAACATGCTTTCCCCATGATTAAATCTATTCAAAACTCGAGCAGTTAATTTTTTTCATCGCCACTATTTTTATATATAATTACAAACATATACACTGAGAAAAAAAAGTTTTTGTTGATTTAAAAAAATCATTTTCTTTTAATTTTTTTTGCTTAAATTTTTTTCATTCAAAAGTTTTTTCATTTTTAATTAACAAATATTATTTCTGGGTGTATAATAATTATTTAAATTATTATTAAAATTACATTAAATATTCAGTTAGGTAATTAATTTATGTCTTTACTATTACAAATAATTTAATTTAATAATAATAATAATAATAATAATAATTTAATAATTTAATAATAAATAGTAATTGTTATTAACAAATTATTTTATATGGAATTCTTTATCCTTAAAGGAATTTCTTAAAGAAAAAAAAACTAAATTTAGTTATTTATCATTTGAATAAAAAATAATTCTAAAATTGTTATCATAATTTATGATTTTAGGTACGTAAAGACCGTCGTCGACTCAAGTCTTCTTGCTCAGAAGTACAATCCAGAATTCACGTTATCAGCATCATTAAATAGTGCAGTCGTTGGATTAAGCAAACATGGCAATAACAATGGCAACACCAGTGTTTTAATTGATCAATTAAGGCATATTAATCAGGTTTGTTTATTATTATTATTATTATTTTTTTTTTTATTTTATTTAACAAAATTTTATTTACAATTATTTTTTAGACGATTTTTTATTTCACTGAATTTTCTTTTTACCCAAAAGAATTTTAATTTATCATTATTCTCATTCAACAAAATTTTAAGTGATACAAATTTTAAATTCGTAAAAATTTCTAATTCGCCGTAACTTTATTTGTTTGAATTTTTATTTACAGAAATTCTTAAAACGACGATTCTTCATTTGTCTGAAATAAAAATTCATAAAAAATAAAAATTCGTACAAATTATAAGATTCGGTGAATTTGGAAATTCTTGCATTTAAAAATTCGAAACAAATTCTAAATGAGAGTTATGCTTAATTAAAATTCAATTAAATTAGAATTCCTTATAAATAAAAATTTTGTGCCTAAAAATTAGTAAAATTAAAAAAAAAAATTTCGTCAAAATGAAATTCAAAATTCATTCGAAAAATGAAAATTCGTTTAAAAAATAATTGTCTGAAAAATATTAAATAGTTTTATATAAAAAAAAAAACTATAAATAATTAAATATTAGTGAAAAGAATTTTAATAGAACATTGAAGAAAAAAAATTTTTTTTTTTTTCATATATAGAAAATTAACACCTTTTATGAGACGATGCTAATGAATTATATACAGAGTATAAAGTGGCACTTCTTGGCTTGGTGTCGAGGCTAAATTAGCATATATCGTATATGGATGGTATTAGCTAAAAAGTCATAAAATCTACAAAAGAGTAATTTGAGATATTCATCTTATAGGCACTTTGGATCAGAACAAATTGTCTCTGACTTTTGTTTATTGTATATTGCCATATCAAGATGAGAAATAAATGATTCACGCTTCCCACATTCGAATTTTTTTTTTTTCATATGTAATTATACACCAATATATTGACAAGCTCAAAAACAGACGATTAGGTATAGACATCTCCCACGCGCTACGAATCAGACATTCAACTATTGTATATGGGGCATTCTTACTCAAATGTACCAAAAATCAAAGTTTTTAAATATTCTTAAACATTGGTAAATTGTTGCCCTATATATATATATGAATGACAATCTGTCAAATTTTATATTTAAAAAAATGTGTTAAAATTTTTAAGAATAATTTTTTATTTCCTTGACTATTATCAAATAAATATTTTTTTCTATTTTATTTTATTTAAAAAAAAATTTAATTTTTAATTAATAATAAATAATAATATTAATAATTAATTTTTAATTTTTTTTTCAATTTTTCTAATTATAATATAATTTAGTTATAGTTTTATAGTTAATTATACAATTAATGAATTAATTATATAAATTATAATTTTATTTTTACTGTGATTTTCTGTACGGATTTTAATTTTTTTAGGGTAAATGTACTAATTACGGCGCGATTCGAGTCAAAATTCCTTTGAAATAGAAAATTTGACATTTCTATTGTATAAAGTTAATTGAAGACTTATTAAACTAAAAGCTTATGTTATTTAGATATTAAAAAAAAATATTTAACTTTATAGAAATTGATTATTTAAACAAATATGAGAAATTAAAACTAATTTTCTATTACGGCGCGTTCGTGTCAGTTTCGATGACCAAAAATTACGTGTATTTTGAAGATACTTTGCCCTCTGTAATTGAAGCCAATGTAAATTTTAAAAATGTTTCAATTACAGCGAGGGAAAAAATTTGATCTCAAATTAATTAAATTAATAATTGTTTAAATGATAAGTAATTGTATAAAAAAAAAATTAAAATAATTTTTTTTAATCATTTTGCAACTGTTATATTAAATATAATAGTTATTTCTTATGAACGCGCCGTAATTGGTACAGAAAAGAAAATAGATTAAAAAGATTTTTCCATTGGCAAAAAAAAGGGGAATAAAAATTTGATGTTTTTTTTTTTTTTTTTTCTTTACAGGTGGTTCAATCACAGTTATCTCTTGCACCTGATATTGGAATGCCTTTGGCTGACGAGGCTTTTGATGGATCAGGCAGTGGAGCAGGTTGGACATTGACGGGACGAGATCGCGATACGGACGATAGTGATAACGAAGATGAAGACAACGCGGGTGATGATGAAGATGGACACGAGTCTTCCGGCTCAGGAATGGGTCCAACTACATTATGTATAAATATTTTTTTATCCATTATTTTTTATGAAATACTTTTTTATGAAACAATTATTTTTAAATATAATAAATTAAATTTTTTAAATGTAATAAAATATTAATTTATATTATAATATTTAAAAATATTAATATTAATTTAATAATTTTATAAATAATTTTTAAATTTATTGGAATTTAATTCTCGTAGATCCAACACAAGATGTAAATCGTAATGGCAATGGAGAAACACCAAAAGCATCCGATTCGACGATAATATCGGTATCGGTCATTGCATTGGCCACTTTCTGCATCTCGCTAGCGGCTTAATTTTCGACATTAACTATATATGTATATATATATAAAGAAGCAAAAGAAGAAGCAGGACGAATCCTCGAACGGTCGGTGCAACTTGATGGGAAAGGATTCTCAAAGATTCTTGAGCCAACATTCGCGAGATGAAAGAGAGAGAGAGAGAGAGAGAATGAGAGAGAAAGAGAGTCGATCTGTATAGTCGCGGTCAACGAACGCAAAGAAAGGATGATCATTTGAATTTTCTCTTTCAAAATTATAAAACAATGCAGAGAAAAATTGAATAAATTCTTTTTTTGTTGCATACCGTGACAAAAAGAATGTGTATTCGTAAAATATTGATAGTTTCTTTATATATATATATATTTACATATACATGTAAAATATATAAACTTTTAGAATGGTATCTACTCAGGGACCGTTTAAAATGACAAATAGACCTATTTATTTTGAAAAAAAATGGACGTAATTTTAATCAAAAAAAAATTTTTTTTTTTTGGAATATTTTTTTAAAAAACAAATTTATTTATTTATTTATTTTTTTTAAATGAATGAAACTTAATGCTTCAAAAAAAAAATGTTACTGAGCATTAAGAATATGCTTTTTTTAATATTAAAAAAAATTTATCCGAGGGAAATAGATTTTAAAACTGTGTGTATTTAGAAAAAGAAGAAGAAAAAAAAATGGTGTTTTACAGTATACATGATTGGAAATAATTCTCATCTGCCATGCGTTGCCAAATTAAGATTAGATTGAATTTAAACTTTTTGACTGCCAAAATGCCAATTATGCAATTTAAAAAAAAAAATGAAATTGTTAGGCATCGAATATTGCGTCCCAGAAATTAAAAAAAAAAAAAAAAGAAACACCGTTTAAATCGAATTTGTAAATGAAACGATCCCTGTAGGTATATTACTGGTGACGTGACGGCGTGTTCGATGATTCGTTTTGTACATTTCTTGAGTTCGAATCATTGAGAGTTAGTGCCTTTTTAAATAACACATACACATTCGGACCGTGTCACGTCTGTAAAAATACCTATATATATATATATAAATAATTATGTACAGGGCTTTCTTTGCTAACGTATAAATGAACGAATGAATGTGCCTCTTTATTATTATTTTTCAATAAGAGTATCTAATTATTTTTATATTACTCACTATTTTCTTTCTTTTTTAATATTGGGCATTTTTTTAAAAGCTTTATTTCCTAAATTTGAATATTGATAAACAAATTTAATTAATTTCTTTTTTTCAAAGACTGGAGGCATGAAAACACTTCGAATTTTGCACTTTTTTCTTTTTATTAGAAATATAAAAATCAATTGTTGGTCAAAATAATGTAAAAAAAAAAGGGGGAAAAAAAGATTTATAGTAAATATGTGGCAAAATGTAAGTGCTGGCACTTGCTTTATTTATATAAAGTTGGAAATTGAAATTTTAGTATATTAAATATAATATCAACTTTAATGATTTTTTTCGTTTAGATTAATTTTTTTGATTCTATTTTCAATATTTTTCTTTTTTAGCTGGTCGCGTCAAAAAATGCCTTTATAATTGGCATATATCATGCGTGGGACGTATATTTACACTAACTCTTTGAATGTCTCGACTGTAGTTTTTTTTTTTAGGGTCCATGAACCCAATGTGACCATGAAAAAAATCATGTTAATCCATTGTCCAAATCGCTTATTAATCTTTTTAAAAAATGTGTGTAGGAGACAAAAAAAAAAATTCTCATATGTTAAATATCTACACATCGTTTATTTTTATCATTGAGTATTTTAAAAATTAATCTTAAATCATTTTTAGAAATTAAAAATTTTTTTTCCTATTAAATTAATTAATTTTTGAAAAAGTGCAAAATTCGAAAAGTGTAAGAGAAAGAGAGACTGACGATGAGAAAGTAATTTTTTGTAAATAGAGAATGCTTGTGAGATATTTATATGAAAAAAAAAAATATATATATTAATATTATATGCTATATATATATAAACCGACCTTAAGATTAAGTGATTGAAACAATTATTGATATTTAACACTATTAAAAAATTTGTTTAATGTAATTATGTACAAGGTTATGACCATTGTACGCGTATTTGAAATTATTTTCTTTTTTTTATTATATTTTCTATTTTTGTTCCTTAAAATTTATTTTATCATTGTGTGGAGATTAATGAAAAATTTGTAGTCTCTATAGGGAAATTATATAATGTGCGTTTAAAACGTTTCTTTTCTAGTTCACTAATTAATTTTAATATTTTTAAGATAAGTTTTTTTTTTGTAATTAAGATTAATTCGTCGAAATTAAAAAGTGCTTGCAATTTTTTTTTTTAATTTCTCTAATACTAATATTAATAATAATAATAATAATTATAATAATTATAACTGACTCTGAATATAAAGTGGCAAAATTATGTCTTCCTGTTTCTGAATAAAATTCGAGATGACATATTTTTTCCCTCCAGTTGATAAATATACAATTCGGATAATAAGTCTGTTAAATATTATGATCCGAGATTGTAAAATGCATATATATAGTGTTTAATGTTAGATTTTTGAAAGCCTACTACGTTTGGCACACGTCTGTGATTATTTAACAAAAAAAAAAAAAAAAAGAAGAAGATGATGATGATGATGAGAGAAAAGAGAAAAGAAAAACGAAAGAAAAAGGCGAAGAAAGAATGAAAAAAAAAATATATCTCCTGTTGGAAGAATTATTTTTTCTCCAATGGTTCGTTAGTGAATTAAATTTCGAAATTGTATTACGTAAGTGATATAAAGTTGTGAAAATAAAAAACCTAATTAATATATATATATATATATATATATTGTATTCTATTAATAATTCGTTCGCCAGTCAAGTGTCAAATAGACTCGTTTTTTTTTTTGAGCTGCCACTAAAACTGCAAAAAAAAAATAAAACCTAGGTTTTTTAAACAACTGGAGTAAGTGTTTAACAATAAATTATATTTACCTTTTTTTTGCGAAAAATTGTTATTATTTTTGTTTTATTGGCGAGCTCAAATTCATTACAGTGCCATGTGTGTCGAGATTAGAATTTTTAAGAATCGAGAGCGCACAATTTAAAAAAAAAAAAAAAAAAACTAATCACGTTGCTTATTAGTCAGACGCACCCGCAACTCCCTTCGATTGAATTAAATGTAATATGTAAAATACGCAACCATCGTACCTATTATAATAATTAATAATAAAATATTATCAGAATTTAAGAAAATTATTAAACTATTGACAGTTATTAAGGTCGCGGCTCTCACGACAATGTAAAAAAAAAACTGTTTACGAGTGAATGGCGAATAAACACTTATGAAAATAAATTTTTGTTGTTTTTTTAAAAAAAAAAAACCCCACGTAAGAAAGTTATATTTCAAATTTACCTCTCTATCAATTACATTTTTATCGACTTAAATTACCAATAGATTTCTTCTTTATCTACAAATAGTTGAGGTTAGAATATTTTCCACCAGGTGGCCTTAAATATTTTAAGGTTAGGTTTTACTTGTCATTTTGTATATACAAAATTACACGTGATTATTTATAATTTATAATTTACATTCTGTTTACCTATGAAAGTAAAATAATTGAAAAAAGATGTTATCTAAAAGTGCCTAGTAAATATATTTATAAAAAAAAACAGTGATTAAATATATACAAAAGGTTATATATTTATACATTCGGCATTTACTTATTTTACGCAAATCATTAATTAATAATATTTTTTTAATACAAATACTTTTTTCAGACAAAAAAAAAAAAAAAAAAAAAAAAAATGGCATCGATAATAAGAAATAAAGTAACGTTAGGTTTTCGAAAGTCATTTTTAACTGAGAAAGGTGATTTTTTACAATGGTTTCCTGGTCATATGGGCAAAAGTTTACGGAAAATGCAACAAAAATTAAAAAATATTGATTTAATAATAGAAGTAACCGATGCAAGAGTACCTCTATCTGGTCGTTGTCGTGAATTAAAATCAACTTTAAGTGGTATAAAACCTCATATTTATGTATTAAATAAAATAGATTTAACCGACATGCAATATACAAATATGGCAATTGAAAAATTAAAAAAAGAAGGCATGGAAAATATTGTTTTAACTAATTTTAAAGATCAAACATGTAAAGGTATGAAATCTCTCCTTCCATTAACAATGAAACTTATCAATAATTCAGAACGTTATAATCGTGAGAATGAAAGTGAATTTACAATAATGATTGTTGGTATTCCAAATGTTGGAAAATCATCGCTAATTAATCGTTTACGTAATAATCATCTTAAAAAGCGAAATGCTGCGGCAGTTGGCGCAGTTGCCGGTATAACACGTTCAATTATGACAAGAATAAAAATAACCGATGATGTTTATCTTATTGATACGCCTGGAATTTTATCACCCGAAATAAGAGACATTGAAGGTGGATTAAAATTATCATTGGCTGGCTGTATACTTGATCATTTAGTTGGTCCAGAAAAAATGGCAGACTATTTATTATATTGGTTAAATAAACAAGGACGATTTGAATATGTGGAAAAATTTAATTTACTTGAACCAAATGATAATATAATGGAAGTACTTGGCCAAATAGCTATTAATTTAAATAAAACGATAAAATTGAAAAATTTTGAAAATAAAATCATTGTCAAACCAAATTATTTGTATGCTGCTGAACTATTTATTAAAGCATTTCGATATGGTGAATTAGGATTGTATTGTTTAGATCAAGATATTGTTAATCGTTAAAAAAAAAAAAATGTTTTATTTTTTACTGATGAAAAATATTTGTAAATAAATGTAAATAAAGTAATTTACTCTAATTTATTTGATATTTGCATTTAAATTAAAAATTCAATTAACAAATTAAAAAGCTATAAGAATTTTTTGAATTTTATTTTAAAAAGGCGGGAATGAAGTTGGTGCATTTTTATCTTTTATTGAGCATTAAATAATTTTTTTTTTATTTTTTTTTAATGAAAACTGAATTGTTCAATTGAAAATACTCGTTTATCTATTAAAAATAAATTGGTTCTTTTTTTAATAATCGCACTTTGTACTGTGTTGCACTGTGTCAACAGTCGTGCTCAATAGCATTAAATTACAAATTTTTACCTGGTAAAAATTTACATTTAGCACAAGATTGAGCACGACTGTTGACACCGGCTACTGACACCGAGTGACCGTCGAAAAACACTCATGGAGATTAATGAAAATGAACATAACCTATATTTATGTATATTTGTTAACCTTTTGTATAAAATCACTAAAGAATCATAAATAATTTATAATGTAATTTTAAATGTTCTCTCAAATGTACAATAAATTGCAAGTAATGTCGTACTAAAATTATTACAACTCTTGGGAAAAATAATTTAATAGAAGGAATAAAATTGTTATTTAATAAGAAAATTAAATTGTTTTTAAATTCATTCTACTTAATAGATAAATAAAATGCCTTTAAAAGGAATAAAAGTTTTAGAAATGGCAGGTTTGGCTCCTGGTCCATTTTGTGGAATGATTTTAGCAGATTTTGGAGCAACAGTCATTAAAATTGAACGTGTAAGTTTAATTAATTTTTCTTTTTTTATAAGAAAAAAAGACTAATTTAATTTTATTATTCTAATAAATTGTTTCCACAATTAAAATTTTTTTAAAGGAGACTAAAAGCATTGTTTTTTTCAGATTGGGACATCTATTGTATCTGATTGTTTAAGTAATGGTAAAAAATCTATATCCTTGGATTTAAAAAAAGAAAAGGGAATTGAAATAGTAAAAAAATTGAGTATGGAAAGTGATGTGATTATAGATCCATTTAGAAAAGGAGTAATGGAAAAACTAAAAATTGGACCTAATGATTTAATGTCATTTAATAAGAAATTAATTTACGCTCGATTAACCGGTTATGGACAAAATGGGCCTTTTGCTGATTGTGCTGGACACGATATCAATTATTTAAGCTTGTCTGGTAAAGTTTTATTTTCCACATTATTTAATTATTTTTCTATAAATATACAATTAAATTCTCATTATTAATTTTGCCTACTCTTTTTTTTGTTAATATTAATTTATGAATTTTTTTTTTTTTTTTCAATAGGACTTCTTTCGCTAATTGGTCGTTACAATGAAAAGCCAATACCACCTGTAAATTTGGTAAGTGATTTTGGAGGAGGAGGTTTAATGTGTGCATTAGGAATAATTTTATCACTTTTTGAACGAACAAAAACTGAAATGGGACAAATTATCGATGCAAATATGGTTGAAGGTACAGCATATTTAGGAAGTTGGATATTTAGATCACAAAATGTTCCCACATTATGGGGAGAGCCTAGAGGGAAAAATGTGTAAGTTTTTTTTTCTAATTATATAAAAACTAAAAAAAAAAAGTCTATATAATTTTTTCATAGGAATTTTTTATCTTTAGACTAGATACAGGAGCACATTTTTACAATACTTATGAAACAAAAGATGGACAATATATGTCTATTGGTGCAATAGAACCAAAATTTTATGCAATTTTATTAGAAAAATTAAATCTTAATGAAAATGATTGTCCTCATTTTTATGATTTTGAGAAAGGAAAAGAGAAATTTGGAAAAATTTTTAAAGAAAAAACACAAAAAGAATGGTGTGAAATATTTGATGGTTCTGATGCTTGTTGCACACCTGTTTTAACATTAGAAACAGTGAAAAATCATCAGCATAATAAAGCAAGAGGAACTTTTTTCCATAACAATAATGATACTTTAATTCCAAATCCTGCTCCAAAATTGTCAAGAACACCTGGAATATCATCGGTTATTCGTAATGCAATTCCAGAGCAGGGAGAACATTCTATTGAAATTCTTTCTCAACTTGGTTATAATTCTAAAGAAATTAATGAATTTATTTCTTCTGGTATTGTTCATTCCGCTAAAAAACCATCAAAATTGTAAATATTTTAGAATTTTCCGAAAATATAAAAGAAAAATTTAATTGTTAATTAAATTCTTATTTTTAATAATAAAAATAAAAATATTCTCTTAAATTTAAAAAAAAAACGTTTAAATTCCCGCCGAGAAATATTAACCAATGGATAATTATTTCCCATGTTATTGAAAATAATAAGTCTCTGATTGGTGAACCAAAATAAAATTCGTTTCTGATTGGAACGATGATTTAAAGGATATTTACCAATCAAGTTAAAGTGACATTTGCCGCCAGAAAGAAAACAATAATAATAGTAAAAGCACAACAAGAAACGAAGCCGGAAAATTTTTTGGTCAAATTTTTATTTATTACTTAACTGAAATGTGAAATTGTGTTTACAATTATATTGTCATGATTATTGTACTATTTCAAGTTCTATATTTATTTGGAAAATTAATTTATACACGATATAAAAGTCGTAAACAAACTCACGACATTGTTGACAAAGAATTATGTCCTTATGCAAATATGAATTTATCATTTCGAGATCGAAATCAAGAAATAGGTAGATTAGCCCAACCACCGGGTGATACATCGGACGATGAAAAAGATATGGAAAATTGTATTAAATTTTTTCCACCAGCATATATTCAAAGATATGTCTCGGTACAAAAAGTCCTTGAGGAAGCTCGTTATAAGGGAAAAATACGTAAGGTATGAAATATTGAATTAAAAATTATATTTTCTTCTTTTAAAATTATAGACAAAATGCCTTTTATTATTATTACAATAGCATTATTTTATTTCAAATTGATATTTTGCAAAAACTTTTACAATTTTGAGGTTAGAAAGCGTGATTTATTGCGAAGTTACGTTTATTTATTTTTTTTTTTGACTTAAACTAATTTTGGAATATTAAAAATAGTTTTTAATATCTGATAAATTAAGGTTTATTTTATTTTTTTTTAATTTTCTTTTCAAAAAGGTCGTCGATTTTGGATGTTCGGAACTTGGATTTATGGTGTATTTAAAAAATACACCTGGAGTGGAAGAAATATTATGTGTTGATGTTGATAAAGAAGTTTTAGAATGGAGTCAAAAGAAAGCACATCCCCTTCATGTTGATTATTTACATACACGCGATAAACCATTAACAATAAGCGTTATTGAAGGAAGTGTAACGCACAATGATAAACTTCTTGAGAAAACCGACGCTGTAATATGTATAGAATTGTAAGTAAATCTATTATTTTTGTTATTATTAATTAATTTATTAATTCGTGACTTTTTTTTTCAATTTTCAGAATAGAGCATTTATATCCCGAAACATTGACTGATTTACCGTATAATATTTTCGGTTATATTAAACCACAAGTTGCTATCATGACAACACCAAATGCCGATTTTAATGTATTATTCAATAAACCCGGTTTTCGTCATTACGATCACAAATTCGAATGGACGAGGGAACAATTTCAAGATTGGTAAAAATTATAGAAATTAGTTTTCTTTTCTTTCTTTCAATAAAGAGAATAAAAAATAATTTTAATTTCAGGGCAGAGAATATTGTTTTACAATATCCAGACTATGAAGTGTCATTCAGTGGAATTTGTGAAGGTCCAGCAGGTTCTGAAAATCTTGGATGTTGTTCTCAAATGGCAGTTTTTCATCGACGATTAACAACAACAACAAATGAAATTAAATATCCGGGTGTTGAGGGACTATTTAAAATAATAACTATTCAAGAATATCCCTATCACGTTGATAATCGTTCAGATGAGCAAAAAATTTTAGATGACACTGTTTATTATATAAGAAATTATGCCATGTATTGTTTGGAATATGCCGAGGAGATTCCATTGGAAAAATTATTGAATCCATTGAAAAAATATAGTGTCACTGTTGAATATTTAAAGGAACTTTTGGAACAAAATGGATGGAGAATTATTGCACGTGAAAAAGGAGACGTTGTTTTAATACCCGAACGATCGGATTCTGACAATAGTTCCGGTGAAAATTGGGATGATTTGGAATTTTCATGGAACGATCAAGAAAACATTGAAGACGATTGGGATTTAGAACCAGGTCCTCCTTCACAAATTACAGGAGATTCACTTTTACAAGAAAATTGGAATGACGTTGCATCAGTTATTCAAAACGAAGAAGTGGAAGTTGAAACTTTAAATGAACAAAATAATTGTAATGAAATGCCTAGTTGTTCAAAAGAAACTAATGAATCTTCCACTAGTATTGGAAATGAAGAAAATATTTCTTCCCAATCGATAAATCCAATAAATTCTAGTTCTAGTTCTCTTTGTTTTAATTTTAAAAATGTACTAGATAACACAACAGAATTGGCACATCAAAAACTTTTGCATTTAGATTATGAAAATCAATCAGAGATAAATGAAAAATTACCACGTAAAACATATCGTAAGCAAATAAAATCTCCCAACACATCAGGGACTGCTTTAAAAGAATTAGGAAGTTTATGCAGTATTTATTTGGAATCATCGCGTAATGATAATTCAAAAACATGTTTTCAAGATTTAAGTAATCTCTCTTTTGAGAGTACACTATCGGCCACGTCTTCGGTAAATTGTTCGAAATTAGATGAGAATTTATCATTAAATAGTGAAGAGAATTTCCCACCAAAGAAGCCAAGAGTTGATGATAATTTTTCATCAATACAATTTCGAACTGTTCAAGAAATTGAAGATGAATTACGAAGAAAATATCTAAAGAGCAAGAATTTAAAAGGCGAAGACATTTTAAATGAATCTGATCTTTGGGAAGGTAAACAAATTTTTCTTTTTTTGTCATAAATTTAATGTATTAAAAATTTTGTTTTTTTTTACAGGATTAGAAACACCAGAATCAGTTAGTCGAGATTTCTCTGAAAGTAGTAGTCAAATTTCCCCACCAAATTTTAATAATGTCTCAACATCGTCGACATCCATTGATGAAATGTACAAATCAACACCAATAGCTTTAAAATTAAATGAAACAAGCAAATTAGATGATAACACTGCCGATTCAGTGAATAGAAAATTGTTATTAGATAATACAAGTGATTTATTACAAGGGTCTTCCAAAAAAAATATAAATTCAAAATCGAACGATACTAATGAAATTAAATCTGTGATACAGGAAATGGAAATAATTCGCGATTATCCGGAATTTGAAAAAATGTTTGCAAAATGTCGAGATAATTCAAATATTTCCAAAGTTTTAGATTTAGCAGAAATAACAGAATCGGAGATAATATTAGATACACCACCAAATAGTTCATCACCTGAAATAATGGATTCTGGTTATCCAAATTCTGCATCGGCACACGATATGACACCCGAATATGATTTACCAAGTATTGAACAAGATAGAATTTCTAATTCTAAATCACCAAGTATTGAGAATGATGATGATGATGATGATGAGGATGAGGATGATGAAGATGATGATAGAATTTCTGATTCTGAATCGCCAATTAATGAAGAAGCACCGAGGCAAGGATTTTTTGAATTAGAATTAGAAAATGGCGATTTAGCGAATAATAATCGTGATGATGAGGGAAATAATATGATTGCTGTTGAAGATAATGATAATGATGATCTTCAACCGTTGATTCATGTACTTGCAAATGATAGAGAAAATGAAAATGATATTTATGTTTTACAAAATGGTTTTCCCGCTTGGTTACTTCGAATATTACGAATGCAAGGACAACGTTTTGGTCCATTGGATGCAGCAATTGGTAAGTAATTTTAAAATTAAATTTAAATTAATAATAATAAAAGAAAAAAAATGAAAATTATTTGTAATTTTAGATGGAGAAGCTGCAAATTTAAATTTCAATGAAGGCTTCAGCAGTTCATCCGAAGATGATTGAAAAGAATTCGAATTATTAATTCAAAAAAAAGAAGAAGTATTATAGTAAATATGAAAAATTTGCTCATTGAATGAGAAACACCTTGAGGCTGACTATATATAGGTGATAATTCAGAAAACTTAAAACCCCCTGGTGCGAACAAAAATTATATAACTTAAAGAAAAACCAATTTTTTATTCATCAAACGATATTAACTAATCAACGGTTTGATAAAAGTTACTTAGTTCTTTGGATTGCGTTTTTACTTATTATAAACTTCAATTATAAAGCGTCATTTAATTATTATTATTATTATTATTATTATTATTATTACTTAGTGAGAAAATTTAAAAATTACATATCAATAGAAATTTTTCGAGAAATTATTTTTATGCTTTTATTTCAAAGCAATGTCATTTTGTTGTTTCTATGTATTTTAAAGATCACTTTTTCTTTTGTTAATAAGTCTAAACGCAAACCATTAAAAAGAACAAATGTTTATGATAAGTTAATTACAAATTGTTTTATTTCAATCTTATTATTTTTTTTTAATATAAACTTTCGTTCTAAATGAAAAAAAAAAGTTTTGTTTTATAAGAATATTTTTCAATTATTAGAAATATATATACAAGATGTTTCAGAGAAAATCAATCGTGCGTTGTTTTTTTTTTTTCACCAAAAAAAGTCTATGACAAAAGTAATACACACTCTTACAAATGGAAAAATTAATAATAGTTGAGGATTTTTCCAACTATTATTCTTTTTTAAACTAAAAAGAAAAACACTTTGCGACATTCGCAAAACTATATAAATTAATTCTCTTAAAATAACAAAAAAAAAAAAAAAAAAACATTATATTATACAACTCTTCTAACTTCGAAAAACCTCTTTAAATAATAAACTTGACCTAGAGACATACAAACTAGAACAGACGCTTCGAAAAATGACCAGACAACAACTCGGAAATTTGTACTCTCATTTATTGCCCTGTGATTTCTGTCTCGAACCTTAAAAAAAAAACATTAATTTCAAAAAATAGATTAATTATCTATACAATTTTATTCCAAATATTGTTTATCAATTTTTTTTTATACCTCCATATATTCTTGTTCATTTTTAACTCCCCATAAACTTCTGCTGAGATCACTGACCATTTTATCTAATTTAACATGATTTCCATCGACACCATCGGCATGTGTGTCTAATCCTGGTGCTTTTGGTGGATCTCCAACTTCCATATTGAACATAACAATCTTAGGTGTTAATGTACTTTTCATATTACTGAAACAATATGTATAAACTCCAGGTAATTGTGCCGAAAATGAATATTTTCCACTTGTCTCTTGTTCAACATGATGAACAACTTTTCCATCAGGACCAACTATTGTCATATCAATATCCAAAAATCCACCCTCCGCTATCTCAAAGATCAAACCTGAGATTTAAAATTTCCACATTTAATCAACTATTTTTAATTATATATAAACCTAAGACAAGAATTAACACACACCTAAATATATTGCAATTTTTTTTTCCTTTTTCTAAAAAAAATCAATTTCAAATAAAAATGAAATAAAGAACGGAAAAGTTTTTCGAAGAACATAAAAACCAAGACGAAATTAATAATAAAAATGAATTGGAAAATTTAGGCGAAAATAAATAATATAAAAAATTTGTAATAAACATAATTACAAATGTTATTTTTGGAAATAAATTTAAAAGTAAAAGAAACAATGTTTAACAATAAAATTGTAAAAAGAGAAAACTAACCCATTTTGGTTCCATATTCTACTCTTTCGAAAAAGCATTCTTCCGCGTGTGCGTCCACCTGGATGAAATATGCATTCGTGTAACTACACCATGCAATTAAAAAAAGTCCCACACTAAACCACTTCATTTTTTTTTTTTTATTATAAAACAAAACTTTTTTTTAGAAAAATGTTATTTAATGCACATTTGCAAAATTGTCTGCCGCGTCAACACAGAACACGAAGAAGACACACAACTATTGCCAACCTAAAATAAAAAACCAAAATCTTCGCCGCCACGTGTCCAAATCAATTTGACCAATAGAAATCTCTGTTTACTTATTGCCTAATCTCTCATTGGTTCCATTTCTACAACCAATCATATAATACCATTTCGGACAACAAATTTTAAGGTTATGTTTATAAACAAGACAGAAAATTTATTGCAAAATTTTATAAATAAAATTATAGTTTTTTTGTGCTAAAAATTATCTTTGATAACAATTAATAATAAACGACTTGATAGATTTCTGAATTTTTTACCAATTAAGTGTTTTAGAACCCGAAAATTAGTGACAGATATTGCCGTACAGTGTAAGTTGCTTATGTTGTTATATGTATTGTATTTTTTTTTCATAAAAATTTACGAATATATTAAATAATCTATCGGCAAAGTGAAGATTTATTAAAATTGAATTATATTGTTTTACTTTCAAGTGTTTATCTAAGCTAAAGCAAAACCGCATTCAGTGAAAAATACTTTTTCGTGTATATTGTTCGAATTTTTGACAGTTGTTTTGACGTTTCACCGTCGCCATCGTGGGTGTCTATATAACAAGTGTGTGTGTATGTTAACTTGTTCTGCCATATTGTATCCATATTATTCAAGATTGTTGAAAAATTTCAATTTTATTAAAAAATTATTCAGCTAATAATCGTGCGGTCGATGAATAAAATCAAGTGTTTATGAAGTAAAAATTAATTTGTCAATCACTTCCAGTCGTAAGGACAGGATTTATATCAATATTTCTGGGACCTTGAAAACAAAGGTAAGGAATCTACACTTTCCGTCATCCTGTGTGCCAGTTTTTCATTTATATTTCTAATAACAGGATAAATAACGAATCAATTTGAAAAACTGGATATAAACATTTTTCCGCGGTGAAAATATTTATTATTATTTAAATTATTTATTGTCAATACTTTTTTTTTTTATTTACAATCATTTGGAATTTAATTTCTTGTTATGTGTATAGCATAAAATCAAATTCTCATTGTGTCTTCATAATAATTATCTACTTCGCAATTGTAGAGAGAGAATCAGCAATGAGTCACAATTTTAGTCATAGAATAATTAAATAATGTCTTTTGGAAATATTTTCTTTTCTTGAAAGTTTAACTGTTCTTTACAAGTTGCTTTCTTTTTTTTTTTTAATAATTGTTTACATATTTACTAAGAAATATTTAATTTCAATTGATTATTCATTAGTAAATTCATTATTGGATATGCCGCTAAATATGTTCGTTTAAAAAAAGAATTATAAATTTTTTTTTAATTTAAAAGTGTTATTACATTATTGATTTTTTGCCTCTTAATTAAATTTTTATTAAATAGCGCCTCACTTATTTATAAATAAATACTACTGATATTGTGTACTTTATTAGTACATAGTTTTTAAAACAACTTCTGGTCAATATTTTTTTTTAAATATGATTCACGGGTTTTTATAATAATGAAATATTGATACGTATGACGTTTTTAACATTCATATTGATAAGAAATTGATTTTAACATTAAAATAACATTAATTTTGTTTTATTTATTCATTTTGAAAAAAAAATTCTTCTAAATTAGTTATTTTATTTAATTATTTTTTCTCATTAATATAATTTTAATGTAAATTTAATTATTTTAATAAAATGGACCACTCAGATTAATTATCGCATTGATTACGTATTTCGTCAGTAATTAATCTTTCTGATATTTCACTAAACCCAGTTAAAGAGTTGAACAAAAATAACTCACATTAAATTTTTTAATTAAAAGAGAGAAATTAATAAATTTTTTTTCTCTTAATTATTTTAGGTGCAAAATGTCGGCGGGTCCCTATAATTATTCATATATTTTCAAATATATCATCATAGGTGATATGGGAGTAGGAAAATCATGTTTACTTCATCAATTTACGGAAAAAAAGTGTAAGTTAATTTTTTTTTTAATAGTAAAAGAGATAAAAAAAAATTATTAAAAATAAAATTTTAAAAATAGATTTTATAGAGATAAATTAAAATTAATTTATTTTAGTTATGGCTGATTGTCCACATACAATTGGTGTTGAATTTGGAACTAGAATTATTGAAGTAGCGGGACAAAAAATAAAATTACAGATTTGGGATACTGCAGGACAGGAAAGATTTCGAGCAGTTACGAGGTTATTCATCTGTTTATATGATTAAATAAATTGTAAATCTCAGTTTTATGGATTGACAGAAATTTTTTTTTTTTTTTTTGAAAAAATGCAAAGTAAAGGTGAATAAATTCTTTACAAATAAAATGATATTTTTTTTCAGGTCATATTATCGTGGCGCGGCAGGTGCACTGATGGTATATGACACTACTCGTCGCTCCACTTATAATCACCTGAGTAGCTGGCTTACTGATACTAGAAATCTCACTAACCCTAGTACTGTAAGGATACTTTCTTTCTTTATTTTTTTTAAAATCAAATTTCACTTCTCTAGTCAACGAAAGAAAATTTCAAAAAATGGAAAATCAAATTCTTTTGGTTGAAAATGCGAAAAAATTGCAAAAATTAATTAATGAATCAGTTAATTAAATAATTTTTGTGTTTAATTTCACAGGTGATATTTATGATTGGAAACAAAAGCGATCTAGAAGATCAAAGAGACGTGACTTATGAGGAGGCGAAACAATTTGCCGATGAAAATGGTCTTATGTTTGTTGAAGCCAGTGCAAAAACGTTAGTATTTGCAGATGATAAATTTTTATAAATAATATTAATAATTGTATTATTTTGTGAATATATTTATATATTATTAATTTAATCGTAAAATCAAAAACTATTTACTTTCAGTGGACACAATGTTGAAGAGGCATTCTTGGAAACAGCAAAGAAAATTTTCCAAAGCATAGCTGATGGAAGGTTCGTTAATGAAAATTATTATTTCGAGAAACTGAATTATTATCTTCGATTTAGTATCGTTGAAAACATTTATTGTTTCTACGATTCTTTAATGGAAGGTAAATTTTAATTATTTGGCAAAAAAAAAAAAAAGGAAAAGATAATTTTCGAATATCTTTCCATTTATCAGAAATAGATTAATCTTATTTTTTTTTTGTTTGCGATTAACAACAATCGTCACTTAACACGGTCTAATTATAAAAGTATATATTTTTTTAAACAAAACATAATTTTTAATAAATCACATTTTTATTAATCTAAGTCAATTTATTTTTAAAAAGCTGTCAAATTTTAGCTTTCAAATTTAAATTAAACTTTTTGTTTTGAAAAATTTGCAATTTTTTAAATTAAAGTATTATTATTATTACTGTTATTATTAATTATTATTACGAATATAGTGAAAATATTTTTGCAATTACAGATTGGACTTGAACGCTGCGGAATCTGGAGTTCAACATAATCCAAGTCAACCAGGTCGCAATAATTTACAAGTGAACAGTGAACAACAAGGAGGCAAAGACTCTTGCTCTTGTTAGGCCATTTTTTGTCTGTATATAGGTCATTTATCGCGTTAACAGTTTACACTAATGCATATACAAAAAAAAAATATATATATATATAAATATTATATATATATATATTATTTACACTAAAAAAATGCAAGCAAAAAATTTTGTCCTTTTTTTTTAAACTGTGGACTTTTTGGGTAAGCATAATGTAAATGCTATATATGAAAGAATGAATGTTGTATAGAATGTTCCATTTTCTAAATGGCAAATATTGCAAAAATTTGCAAAAGTAAAACTTCATAATGTATTTATATATAAGTTTCTCCATTTTTTGATTTGAATGAAAGAAAAACAATAGATTGTAGATTCACTATTTGCAAAAGGAGATTAAGAAAAAAAAAAAAAAGAAAAACAACAACAAATAAATAACGCGAATTGTGATGTGTTTTAAATGAATGTTTTAAGAATGTCTATTAATTCTTTTTTGGATATTAAAAATCCATTTAATGATGTCTGGAAAAATTCAATGTCGCTCGTGTTTCTTTTTTTTTTTTTTGAAAATTATAAGAATCTGCTAAAAAAAAAAAAAGAAAGAAAAATTATGGCGGAAAATCACAATTTTTCTAATTTTAATGCAGATGAGAACAAAAAAACATTAATTAATTAAATAAAATTTGAATTAATCAAATTTTTCTTTTACATTTTTTTTTAAATTTAATTTTATGATTTTTAAAATTTTCATTTCAAAAATTTTAACAGAGAAAAATATTTTGTGATTTTCCGATATTTGTTAGGATCTTGTTGTTGCTCGTGTCCAATAAAAATTGTGTTATTGATACATTAAAAAAAAAAAAAAAAAAAAATTGTATAGGCGTCCAGTTTTTAGAGTATATATATATATATACTATATAATTCCTTGGTGTACTACAAGAATCGAACCGCAAGGTCCCATCGTGAATGGTTCATTAATAAGAATTTTACAATATTAATCAGAGCGAATAGAAATTTTTTTTTAAAAGCCAAACTTGTAATTCAAAGAAGTATCCGATATAATAAACACAGATCATGAGATCTGTGTCCTTTTAATTGTATTTCCATGCTACACACATAATTATATATATATATATATGAAATAGAATCGCGAACATTTTAATTAGACGTTTTTCCTTTCTCTTTATTGGGAACACCTGGGCATTTGTATATATATATTAAAATAATTACAAACAGTAATATATAAAATGCATATATAATATAAATACCCTTATTATTATTATTATATATAAAAACAAAAATTTACATCAAACATGATTGGGCCTAATTGAGGGGGATATCTTGTTTAAATGACACCATGTTGATTTTTTATTATAATCATATCAAAATAAATATCCATAAATGATGACTTTATAAAAGTTAACAGTATTTTCATTTATGGTCATAATAATAATAATAATAATAATAATAATAATAATAATAATAATAATAATAATAATAATAATAATAATAATAATAATAATAATAATAATAATGATAATAATAATGATAAAAATTGTGAGAAGTAAAACTTAAAGAAAAAAAAAACTTCATAGTTATACACGTTAGCGAATTGAAACTTTAGAAAGAATCTTTAATATCTACCATATGAATAATTCTACATAAAGCATTAAATGTTTTTGTTTTTAATAAATTGTCGAACATTCTATACTCCATGTTTTATTAAAACATTTTTCCGTATAAAATTTCAAAAAAAGAAAAAAATTAAATCGAACAAAAAGTATTAAATTAAATTTTTATTACATAAAATATTATTTTATATGAAATAAAGGTAGATTTTAATCAGAATTTAAATTTTATTATTTTTATCAATAATATTAGACATATTTTTATTATAAAAATGTTTGTAAATAATTTAATATCTTGATTAATTTAAAAATTAGGATAAAAATTTTTTTTTTTAATTCTTTGTCAGATTTTAAACTATACTTTATAAATAACTTGGTAATAATAATAATAACCACATTGAATGGTAAATGTTTACTATTAAATTAAAGTGGTTTTAAATGATAAAATAATAATAAATTAGAGTCGATAATGAATTTTCCACTATTACCATCACACTCACACAAAATCAAATTGCTTCACATATACATATAAAGTGAATTGTCAAAAATAACATGTTTTAAATGTCACTTTTGTTTGTGACTAAAAAAATTACATTTTTATTAGTTTTAAACAATCAATTAAAAAACAATTACGATTATTATTAATAAAAACTATTGTGGAATATAGAGAACGGATTTTACACAATTATATAATATTGTCGAAAAAAAAATGATTAATCTATTTTCGTGATTTTGGAAATCTACAAGACTTTTTCAAAAAAAAAAAATGTCCGGAATTAAGGTAAGAAAATGAGTTTTTATTTGAAAAATAAACCGTAATTTGGAGTAATGAATTAAAATTAAATATGGGTTTTTTTTTGATAAACTTAAAAAAAAGTGAGGTTATATTTTATGTGCGTTTCAAATTTTTCTATATAATTACTACTGTTTTTTTTTTACATAACAAAAGATTTTTTTCTTAAATAAGAATTGATTTCTAAAGAAATTTATATATAATTCATGGAAAATAATTGTCACATACAATTATTACAGAATGAAAATGATGGTGAAGATCATTTTTCAAGACAAGAATCTTACAGAAAACTTGTACCTGGAAATACTAATAATGAAGAATTGGGAATGAAAAGAATTGATCAATCTAATTTATCTCAAAATAATAAAGAATATGCTGCTTTCCTTCAGGAATATAATATTCTTTCTGAATAGTAAGTCTTAATAAATTTTATTAAAATAAAATTACTTATACATGTTGGAATTATTTTTTTTTTTATAAATTTTATTAAATGTAAAAAGTCCTTTTTTTGTATTAATTAATATATTTTTTCCCTACATTTTAGTAATTTGCTACGAAGTCAAGATTTAAAAGGAATTTATGTGATACCGTCCGCTAAAAATCCATTCAGTGAGTTTTATTTTAAAAAACAATTAAAAATTTTTTTCTATATAATTTATAAAAAAAATAATTTTCAGTTTGGTTTGGTGTTCAATTTATAAGGCAAGGTATTTATCAAGGAGGAGTTTTTAGATTTACATTAACATTGCCGTCAAATTTTCCCGAAGGAGGATGTCCGGTAAGAAAAAGAAAATTAAATTTTATTTGAGAGTTGAATATCATTTTTTTTTTCTATTTTCTATTTTCTATTTAATAAAAATCATTTACAGATCGTTATTTTTCAAACAAAAATCTTTCATCCACTTATAAATAGTGAAACTGGTGAATTAAATACAATTTGGGGTTTTGACGAATATAGAAGAAATAATCGTGTTTGGCAATTAATTCAATATATTACCAAAGTCCTAACGAAAGTTGATTCCAAAATGACGCCAATTAATGAAGAAGCATCTCTTTTGTAAGTAGAAAAAAAAAAATTATTTTATACTTGAAAATTTGAAAGCTTAATTGCTTCTTGAGAAAATAGTTTTATTTTTACAGATTAGAAACAAATTTCGAAGAATTTCGAGAACGCGCCAAGAATTGTGTGAAAGAAAGTCTTAATCAAGTTTATAATTCACCAACAAGTGAAGATCCACATTATATAACTTTTAGTCCTTATGATAAAGAACTTCATGGACCAATTAGACAAGATATCTATAAACCAAAGGTTAGATTTTCATTATTATTATTATTGAAACCAAAATTTTCATCGAAAGAAACTACTTCGAAAAAAGTCGCAATAATTAATGAATTAAATATTACAATTAATTCGAAATTTAATAATTATTTTAAAAAAATAATTATATTATTAAATAAATTCCTCTTTATTCAGGAAGGTGATAATAAAGCAATTGGATTTTCTTGGGTTCAACCGGGTTCTCTTCAACCATTTTCTAAACCTGACGCAAGATAATAATAATAATCTAAAATTAAAAATACCTTTCTAATAAAAAGGTGGCTGAGTGAAAGAGTTTTCTATCAATAATCTGTTAAATAGAATATCATCTATTTTCTAAACAGAAAAACTTTTTATATTTTTAAATAACAAAATAGTTCTAATATATTAATATAAATAAGTAATTTTTTATATAAAAAATTTATCAACTCTTTCTCTCTCTCAAAAAAAAAATTGAATATTTTAAATACTCATGTGTGACGTATATGAAAAAAATCTTTGACTTGTGCGATTATATTTAATGAAAAAAATTAATCAGTGTTTTTAAGTGACATAATTTTAAATTAATTTAATTATAATGAAGAAATACTTCACGTGTGTTTTTAAACAGTCACAAAATTTTATATTTTTTCTAATGGGTATTATTTAAGAAAATTTTGAATTAATCATAAAAAGAACCGAACAATTTAAAAAAACATTGTTGACAAAATTTGTCATACAAATTATTATTAAATAATGATTAATTATTTTATAATAAATTATTAATTGAATATTTTATTCTCAGTATTTAAAAAAAGAAAATAAGATACAACAAATTTATGTACTTTTGTCGCGTTTACAGTATTTATAAAAAAAAAAATTTACTATTTAATTATTTATTACTCGCGCATGTTTGCCTTATAGAGTAAAATTAATAAATTTGTTACCTATATAGAAAATTTATAGCTCATTTGCTATACGTTACGTAATTATTATCCTATGTTACAAAAAAAATATATATTTAATATAAATATACAAAAATTTTAATAAATCATTTTGAATATTATTTATTATAGGAAACTAGTTCCGTGATACTATTTTAATTAATATTTTTTTTTAAATTCACTTTTCATAACCCAATTAGATAAAAATATTTTTTTTTTATGATCTAAAAAAAAATTATGACAAATTGCAATTATCTGCGCTACTAATTGCTATTAAGAGTGTGTAATAGAAAAATGAAAAACACCCGCATACATACAATGACAATAAACTATTTTCTTATTTAACAATGAGATAAAAAAAGATTACGTGCATGAAAAAATTGTTTTCACAGACACCACAGGAAAGTTGCAGTTGTTTTCTTTTTTAAAAAACACGTCGCACGTCTGTGACAATTAAGAGTTGATATAAAGAAACATTATTAAAAAAAATAAATAAATAAATTCATTCGTTAGTGAAATATGTAACTTTACTTACAAATAGGAAGTTATTTTCCTCTCCGGTATAAAGTTTAAATTTTGTAATCCAAAAAAAGAATTAAAATGAAAAAATTTATTTCATTACTACTTGTACATATTATGTGCACTTTATTATTAAATGCAGAACCACGATTACAAATTTCTCAAGGGAAATTGAAAGGTACTTTTTTAAAATCGAGAAATGGTAGAAGATATTCGGCATATCTTGGTCTTCCCTACGCTCAGCCTCCAATAGGAAATTTAAGGTAAAAAAAAATATATATATTTTTTTCCATTTCTCAGAATTAAAAAAATAAAATAAAATTTCAGATTTCGAAATCCTTTACCAGCTGGCAATTGGAGTAATTATCGAGATGCAACATTTTATCGAAATATATGTCTACAGCCGTCTATTAATGGTTCTATTGGAAATGAAGATTGTTTATTTTTAAATGTTTACGCTCCATTAAGAACAAGAAGGAAAAATTTATTACCAGTAATGATTTGGATTCATGGTGGTAGTTTCATTGGAGGAACAAGCAATATATTTAGTGGAAATTATCTTTTAGATAAGGACATTATTTTAGTAACTGTTAATTATCGTTTGGGAATTTTTGGCTTTTTTACATTAGGCGATACAACAGTATCAGGAAATTTTGGTTTAAAAGATCAAGTTCTTGCATTAAAATGGGTTCAAAAAAATATCAAAGCATTTGGTGGAAATCCAAATAAAGTGACTTTATTTGGTGAAAGTGCAGGTGGTGCAAGTGTCAGTCTTCACGCTATTTCAAAGGCAAATAATGGTAAAGTTATATTTTTATTTAATAATTTTTAATTATTAAAAATAAAATATTATTTAATAGCAAAATTTTCAATGATTTTCAGGACTTTTTCAGCAGTACATTATTCAAAGTGGTAGCTCTCTGAGTCCTTGGTCATGTCAAAAAAGTGAAAAATTTAAAGAGCCAGTGGTAAAAATTGCAAAAATGGTTAATTGTCCCTATAATAGTTCTCAAATTCTTGTTAATTGTTTACGAGGTAAAAATGCGGAAATTTTGTTAAATACAGGCTCGGCATTTAATAATAATTTAGGTTTTGCACCAGTACAATGGACACCAACAATAGAACCTGATGAGAAAGATGCATTTTTAATTGACAGTCCAAAAAATTTAATAGAAAAAAATCAAATGAAAGATTTACCATTTATGAGTGGAATTGTCAGTGATGAAGGATTATTAATTACTAATAGTAAATATATAATTGAAATGAAAAACTTCTATAAATTCATAATTATTTGACTTTTCACTTTCAGGTTTATACGCAAATGAAACAATTTATAAATTAATGAGAAATAATTTAGAACAATTATTATCATTTGTTGGTGATTTTTTTCTTGATTTAAATAATACCAAAGTATTTGTAGAAGAAATAGAAAATTTTTATTTTAATAATTCATTTAATTCCTCTGGAAAGACTGAGGTGATTATAATAAATTTTTATATTTCTTAATTAACTTATTATTTTACATAATCTAGTTAATAAATTTCGATTTTTTGTGATTATTTATCAATAATTTGTAGAAATATATTTCAGTTTTTGAAGGGTCTAACGGACACATTTAGTGATGGTGGATTTATTTATCCAGAATTGAGAATGCTACAAAAAACAACACCAAAAATGCGAAATTCTAATTATTTATATTCATTTGGTTTTGCATTTTCACCACAAAATAATGGCGTTGCTCATGGCTCTGAAGTGGATTATTTATTTCCATTTTCAAATGTAAATTTACAAATGAGCGAAATAATGGTGGAACTATGGACTTCCTTTGCTTCGAATGGGTATCAAATTTTTCATTGTTTAAATCTATTTTTTTTTTTAAATACGCAGATAAAATTTTTTACTATAATTCAGATATAGAGATAATTCAAAAATTTAATATTAATTCTCTTTTTGAAAATTGTTTTTTCCAGAAAACCAATATCAAAAAAATTGAATCCACCTGACATTTGGAAACCGTATAATATAGAAAAAAATAGTCATCTTCAAATTGGAAATATTAATAATAACACCGATTCAAAAATCACACTTTCAAATTCTTTCTATCCAAAGCGAATGAATTTTTGGCAAACTAAATTTCCTATTTAATTTTTGACAACAAAGAAATAAATATTTCTGAATTGTTCATGTTACGAAATATTTGTTAAAAAAAAAAGAAAATAATTAAAAAATTAAAATGCAAACAAAAATTTTTCCTCAAGAATAAAATTATTATCGAAATGAAAAAAATTATGAGAACATACAAAAAATGTTTTTTTTTTTCCTTTACACAATTTCTTATCAAAGTAAATTGTATTTTAAATCTATAATTCAATAAAAATGAATTATGTACTCATAAAAATGATATTGACTAAGTTTTTTTTTTTTTTTGAAAATATTTTGAGCTTAAAAAATTCTTATGAATTTTTCAAGTATTATTATTTCTAAATAATTGTTTTCAACTATATTATTAAAGTATTATAAATGTCAAGATTACTTTATACTATCAGCTGTAAAAACGACCAAGACAGAAAATAAGTTGATTGTGCGATAGTTCATAAAATACATAGAAAACTAATTACTAATTTTTTTTATAGTATATGTGAATTGACATTAACACAAATTTACAAATGTCAGTATAGTGAAATAATTTTTCTTTTTTTGGCTTTGCATTTTTTTTCTAGACAATAAAATAGCAAATTATATTATATTTTGAAACAATTATATTTTTTTAAAGTAAAAATTTCTTTTTCTCTATATAAACAAGTTAATGTGTGTTGTCATAATAATAATAAAAAATAAAAAAAATGCATTATAAAAAAAAGTGCACCGCTTTTATACTATACTCTGTTGCATAACATCAAGAAATTTTTTTACAAATGCCATTTTTAATTAAATACTAAATATCTATAATTATGTAAACGATATTATTTAAAAAATATCTAGTTTTTATTTATTTTTGTTTAGAATACATATTTGATATCAATTTAAAAGTTGAATTTTTATTAAATATTTTTTTTGCTTCTCGAATGGAGAAAAAATTGTAAAAGAAATTAAATATGTTTTATATGAAACTGATAAAAATATTATTGTTTCTTTTTCATTTTTTATTGTGTATTTCGTGGTTAATTGCTGATGATCAATTAGTTAAAATATCTGAGGGATTTTTAAAAGGAAGTGTTCAAATTACAAGAAGGGGAAGAAAAATTTCTAATTTTTTAGGAATTCCTTATGCACAACCTCCCATTGGAGAATTGAGGTAATATTAATTAAACATTTATTAATTATATAAATAAATAAATGTTTTCTTAAATTGAGAATAAAAATATAATAATAGTAATTAATTGTGTAAAAAATATTCTTTTTTTGAGAAAATGTAAAAAAATATTGAATCGATATTTTATCAAAATAGATTTCGAAATCCTTTACCAGCTAAACCGTGGGAAGGGATTCGAAATGCCACCACAGATGGAAGTCAATGTCCACAATTTACGGATTATTCAAAAAAATATGTTGGCAAAGAAGATTGTTTATTTTTAAATGTTTATACACCTTTACTAGAATTTAATTCAATGGTAAAAAAAAAAAATTATTAAAAATAAAAATATTTTTTTCAATTTTTTTGTAAATAAATAGTTTTTTTAAATAAATAAATAAAAAAAAATTATAGTGAAAATTCCATCTATAGGTGAATTATTCAAATAATGGAAAATTACTTCCCGTCATGGCATGGATTCATGGTGGTGATTTTATAAACGGAAATTGTAGTACCATAACATTTAGTGGTAATTATTTATTAGACAAGGATATTGTTTATGTTTGTATGAATTATCGATTGGGAATATTGGGTTTTTTAAAATCTGACGATTCAGCATCATCGGGAAATTATGGTTTAAAAGATCAACAACTTGCATTAAAATGGATACAAAAAAATATTCATAATTTTGGTGGTGATTCTAAAAGAGTGACAATTTTTGGCGAAAGTGCTGGTGCTGTTAGTGTTCATCTTCATGCATTATCAGAAACATCAAATGGTAAATTAAAAATTAATTTTCATTAAAAAGAATAAAATTTTCTAAATAATAAAAAAAGAATTAATTTAACATACCAAATTTTCATATATAATAGCGAAATTTTGTTAAAAATAAAAATTTTAAAATTAAAAAATTTGATTTCATGGAAATTATAGGATAAAAATTAAATTTTTTTTTTCCAGGACTTTTTCATCAGTACATTATGCAAAGTGGAAATGCTCTACTACCATGGGGATTTCAAGCGAGAAATTTAAAAAAAACATGTATTAAAACATTGGGTATGACAATGTTTTGTCCAACAACATCCACCATTGAAATAGTGAAATGTTTAAGATTTAAAGAAATTGACAATTTATTATACGATAGTCATAATTATGAAAATTTTGCTAGATATGCTTTAATAACATGGACACCAACAGAAGAAACAAAAATAGAAGGAGCATTTCTTACAGATACTCCTCGAAATTTAATTGAAAATGGAAAAATTAAAGATTATCCCTTCATTTCCGGAACAGTGAAAGATGAAGGTCTAATTGCTTCTCAATGTAAGTTATTATTTTATCATTATTATTATTATAATATTCATATGTAATATTTATTTGTTTCTTTAATAATTTTTTTTTATTATATAAATTTTTAATTTACAGTTCTTTACTCAAAAATGTATTGGTATTTTTATATCAGAATAATAATAAATGAATTTTTCGAATTTTTATCAAAATATTATTTTGGATGTAAAAATGTTCAAAGATGTAAAATTCTTATAAAAAATTTTTATTTTAATGGCACATTTTTGTGTTCCAAGCAAGATGTAAGTGTGTTAATATAAAAAAATTTATTATTATTAAAAATTATTATTGGGGAAAGTTAATATTTTTCAATAATTTTTCTCTTTTTTTTTCTAGTTTATTTCAGGAATCACTAAATTTATAAGCGATGCATTTTTCTTCTATCCACAATCGAATTTACTCGAAATTCTAGAGAATAATATTAAAAGTCCATTTTATATTTATTCTTTTGAATATCGAGGAACATTTAGTTTCACTTCAAATGTATTAAAGAACAATTTAAATATTGGCGTTTGTCACACAGATGAGCTAACTTATTTATTTCCTGCAACACCATCAAGTTTTTATTTACCAAATTTAAATTATAGTAAAAATGATGAAACAATGATTGATACAATGGTGGATCTATGGACTAGTTTCGCTATAAATGGGTACAAAAATAATCAAAAAAAAAAAAATTTCCAAGAGTCGGAATTGTAAAAATAAATTTTTTTTTTCAGAAAACCAAAATCGAAGAATTTAAAACCATCCAATTTATGGGTATCGTACGTGAAAAATAAAAGTTATTTGCAAATTGGCAAAGCCACTGAACCGTCTGTGACACTTAAAAGAAATTTTTTAAAAGAGCGTATGGATTTTTGGAAAAATAATCTATCACCAATGAAAAAACAAGATTGCTTTTAGGTTGATAAAATAATTAATAAATAATAACAAATAATTATAATAATAAATGAATTATAATTAATTAATTATTTATGAATTTTATAAATATTTATTAGAATAAAAGAATTAAAATAAACTTTTAAATAGGAAATAATAAAACATGAAGGAAAAACGTTTTATACATATATATATATATATATATATATATATAAGAAATATAATAAATTTATTTTTAAAGTCGTACAAATTGGTATTTCCCGTTGCATGCAATGGAAATAATTTGAAATTTAAAACAATTTCATTACACAAATGTTAAAATAAAATTTTCCTCAAGTTAAAAATTAATTATATTGTACATAATAATTTTTTAAATTTTATTATAAACTTTTTTTAATTTTATAATAAAATTCTCTTTATTATATTATTATAAAAACTTACTATATGTATAAAACGTTTTTTTAATTATTCTAAATATTAATTAATTAAATTTTAGTAATATTATAAAAATATTATATAAAATATTAATATTTTTACAAAATTACCATTTTTTTTATTAAATTTTATAATGAAAGAAATTAAATTGATTCGAATTTAAAAAACAAATAACAACAACAAAAATACTATCCACGGCTTTTTTTCCTTTCAAGAAATGATTTAATTTTTATCAAAGGTTATAGTGTTGAAGTTGAAAAAAAGTCTATATAATATAAGAAAGTGCACTTTCATGTTACAGAAAAATTCCATTTCATTTAAAAGTACAATACACAACTTTATTTATAGAATTTAAAGCAAAATCTTTTAATTTAATTTAAAAAAAAAATCTACTAACACTGAAAAAAAAAATTTAATTCAAATAATAATCGGTTAATTATTTATTTGTATTAAATAATTATTATTTGAGTCAATTTATTTCAAATACAGAAATTATATTGTTTCAAATAAAATTTATTTGATTCAATTAAATTTTTATTTGAAATTATTATGTTTCAAATAAAAATTATTTGATTCAAGTAAATATTTATTTGAAATTATTATTTGAATCAAATAAATTTTTTTCTTTTAATTTACCATTTATTTACTGTTATTCAATAAAATTTTCACTATTCTTTAAAAAATTTATTTTCATTTTATATAAAAAAAAAAAAAGAAAAAAAAGAGTAAAAGTCAATTTCTCAGGCGACAAAAAAAAGCAAACAAGATTAAGAGAGAGAGAGAGGGAGTTTGGAAAATGGAAGAGGTGGCGAACAGTCGTTATTGTGAAAAACGAAAAGGGGGTGTTTTGGAAACGGTGGGGGTTGCGTGTAAGTTGCTGAGCGTTTTACTCTCTCTCTGATTCTAAATTCAGTCCGCTGCGATGGAGCTTCGCGAGATGAATGTCGCGACGGACGTCGATGAAACAGCGGAGCTCCTACCGGCATCTCAACGCGATGAAGAAATTGAAAGTTATTTTATTGAATATGCCATTCAAAAGGAAATAATTAATCGAAATCGAACGAGTGCCAGTCGACGATTGCTCAATCAAGCTGCATTTCAAGCAGAACAAAGTTCCTCAAACACCAATCAAAAGGTCTCTCATTACATCATCTTTTTATTATTATACTATTATTATATTTTTATTCCTAATTTAAGAAAACATTTATTTATTTATATAATTAATAAATGTTTTAGTTATTATTATTATTATTATTATTATTATTATTCACTATATTATAAATAGTTATAATATTAATAATTATTACTAATTGAGTTAATATTTTAATAATGTTAATTAGTTTAATTTATATCTAATGAAAAAAATAGAAATTGAATGCAATTTTTATATGCATATTTTGCAGGAAGATCCATGTGCGAGTATAAGTTTTATTCAAATTTCCGGGCCAAATTGGCCTCCATCTCGAAAACGTGAGGAAGCACAGGCACTCGAGAATTTGAGAAAAAGAGTGGAACAATCAAAATTGTGCAAAGTTAATCCAGTGATGGATGCAGGAGGATTGGCTTCAACATCAGTTGCGTTGAATACCGAACAACTTCAAGAACTTGACAATCGACCGAAACTTTGGAAGAAAGTGAGTTAAACTTAATTTTAACATTACGAGGGGGATTAATTATTATTCACAAAATATATATATATATATATATATATATATACTATATAATTTATGCACACCTAAAATTATATACATTCTAATGCTAATAATATTCAAGTAATTTTAATAATAAAAAAAAATTAACATTATTTTTTATTTAATTAATTATAATTAATTAATTATAAATAAATAATATTTATTTATACAATAATTCTTCCTCAAAAAAAAAAAAAAAAAAAAAAAACTCGAATTGTTCAAATTCAATTATATTCAATTTAATCCCTATTAGATTCGCGGCTAAAACAGTGAGAGAAACTTCAATGTATTATCGAAGATTAATTGAGATGCTGATTCGTAAAGTAGCTAATGAATTATTTCACATTTCCTCCGGGAATGAAATATAAAACTCAATTTAAAAAAGACACTATAAATTTTTAACAATCGAGAAAATTTCATCAAAATTATTTTCTATAATTATTAACAAGCATTCACATTTTATAAGAATTATTTTCTATATAGTAATTAACAATAAGAATATGGCTACAGTATTTTACTTCTCGTCATAGTGAGATTCTCAGTAGTACAAATCAGTTTTTAGTCAGACCAAGAAGAGAGTCAAGCGTTTAAGTTTTAATGGGATAATATTATTTGTTTTATAAATATTTATAATAAAATAAATAAATTATAAATAATTTATGTTATAAATGAATAAATTATAAATGATTTATAATAAACAAATAAATTATAAATGATTTATAATAAATAAATTATAAATATTTAAAATAAATTAAGTATAAATATTTGTATAATTAATTAATTAAAAATGATTTATAATAAATTAGTATAAATTATCAGGAAAAAATTTCAATTTACTAATTTAAATTAGTGACTCACTTTTTGCTTTAGAATTAGTTAAATTTTTACTAATTGTTAGTAAAAGTTACAAATAATTTTAGTAAAATTTAACAAATTAAGAAGCAAAAAATGAGTCACTAATTCAAATTAGTAAACTTTTATACTAATTCAGATTTAGAGATTTTATACTTGGGCTTGATAAAATTAATGTCTTAATTGAAAATTCTTTGTAAGGTTAAAACCTAAAAATATATAATTAAAAGTAACTTACAAATTGTTATTGAGACCGCAACTTTTTGGATATAAAATATATTTCGAACTCACCTGAAACAAAAGCAAAAAAATTATTATTAATATAATAAAATTTTTTAACAGACAAAATTTAAAAATGCACAAACAGAAAATACAAAAAATTAATAATTAAATATAAAATTGACAAATGAAAATAATAATTAATTTTGCTTTTTATTTTTCAATAATATCACAGAAAATTATAAGATATTAAAATAAGTTGAAACGCTTATTATTTTAATCTAATTTTGCTTATTTTAATACCAAAATGGATTAAAATAAGCAAAATTGGATTAAAATAATAAACGTTGCAGCTTATTTTAATGCCATTTAATTTTCTGTGATTTCAATGAAAATATTTCTTATTAATTATAGAATCTGTGACTTTGCGATCAAAGTACACGGCTCACGTCCCAAGGATCCTGGGTTCGATTCCCCTTGCGTGCAAAATTATTCTGATAATAATTTTTCTATATTACAATCTTATTAAATACACAGAAAATTAAAAGGCATTAAAATAAGCTGCAACGCTTATTTTTTATGACACTGAAGTTACCAACGTTGAATTGACGAAAAGAATTTTCTTTTTCCTAAGATTGAATATTTCCCCGCCTTAATTGAAGATTTTTAGTATTTAAAGATGTATTCGGGACCAAAATAAAGAAGTTTCAATTAAAAAAAATTGGTTCTTGGCCTTTAAACTAATCTGAAAACAAAAAATTCGTTCGTCGATTCGTCGAATCAACGTTGGTAACTTCAGCGTCATTATTTTTTTTAATTTTCTGTGTAAGTTTAGAATAATAAAATAATTATATAAATTTAAAAAAAATAAATAAAAACCAAGAGATTTATAATGAACCAGATGTAATATGTACGGTATTGCAGTTGTAACAACTGGAATTGAAGAGAATGACCTAAATTTTGAATTGGGTATAGTGTAGGTATGTGATTACCATAGAAATTCAGTAACTGAGGAGCATAAGAGAACTTGTATCGCAGGGTGTCTAGAAGATAAATGAGTTAATTATGCAAAATAGGTATAGCCAAGTCCGAGTTCCATACTCGAAACGGAAGTGTATGGATGCTGTTAAAGAAGACACAAAGCTTTACTAAAGAGAAAGGAGAAACTGTTTCCACCCCCCATGTAACTTCAATTTGTCCCTGTATATTTATATCCATAAAAATATAATTCCCTCTAAAAAGTTTCTATTATTTCAAATTCAAACAAAAAATATATCATAAAATTATAAGATATTTTTCTAAATATCAAAAGAATAAATCTATCAACATTTTTGACAAAAAAGGTAACGCACTGTGAAAATAAAAATTAGTTATTGTTAGTAAAAACAAACCCGAGGCGAAATTTGAATCCTCTTTAGCTTCCCTTAGAACCTAAATAGGCCCTCTTTACAATCTTGTAGACTCCCGTAGGCCCTCCTTTGAATCCAAACGTGGAAGAAAGGTAAATTTGCGACTGGTTGAGGAAGCTAAAGAGGGTCTAGTTCGATTAAAAAAGTACAAAAAAATGCAAAAAAAAAAACTCTTTTAATTATTTTGATTAAAGCAAAATGAATTTTTTCTTCACACAATATTTCTTTAATTACCCTTTAAAAACTGGAATTAACATATTTTGAAGCGTTTTCAAAAAATTAATAGAATTAGAGCAATTTCAAAATTTTCAATATTTTAATCAATTTTTAGACCCTACTTTAAATCCAAACGTGGAAGAAAGGGAAATTTGCGACTAGTTGAGGAAGCTAAAGAGGGTCTGTTTAACTCTACTTTACTCCTTGTAAATTAGGGCTTAAATTTCGCCTCGGGAATGTAACTTTAATTTACACACTGTCTGAAAAATTTTTCTTTAAATGAGAAAATAATTGAAATATTTTGAAATGAAACAAATTTCTCGATGAAGGACAATAAAAATAAAATAGTAATTTCCTTGAAAGTGTGAGATGCGAACACCTGAAAGTAAAGCTTATATAATATTCACGTTTTCGAATGGTACACGTGGGTGGCCTCGTTTTTCACATCCATACAACCTTCGTCTTCCTATATGTATTTTCTCTCATCCCTATAACCAGGAAAGTAAGTCCGACCCACCTTAACGTTGCCCATTGAACAAGGTCAGGGCGTCTCTTCCGGAAGAAAAAAGTATATATATATATATATAGCACACGTTCACGTGAACAGTGATACATGACTCAAGACTTTTCTCGTTTCGACTTTTTATTTTCTACTTTCTGGAAAATATCTTCAAAACCCTAGCACTGTGAAAAACTTAATGTTTTTGTAACATGATAAAACAATGCTAATACTGTACTTTTTTTCCTTTCTTTCAAAGGGGTTATAAAAGTAAAAAAAAGATAGTTGAAAATTTTAAGATTCAATTATATTTTATTTACTAATTCTATATAAACTTATTGAAAATAAATGACTTTTAGGAAATATTTATAAATATAAGCGGCTTTTTTTGTATTTCCTTTTTCTATATATAAATAAGGAAAAAAGTCAAGAACAATAGAAATTTTCTTGAATTATATTCACCTTCAATTCTATTTTTTCTCTTTAACAATCAAATTTGCAATATATGAAATATAAATAAATATCAACTTCGTAGTTCCATGTTCTGGCCTTTGGAATATTTTTTTTTTTTTTTTTGACATATCAGAGATGTATCTCATATATATAGACACGTGTATGAAATTATCGATCGTTGAGGTTTAATTTGTTTGAAAGGTCATCTTCAAATTTTTCCTCAAAAAAACGATAATGATAAAGAAGAAGAGGGTTTTTAAAAAAAAGGGTTTTCGTGGTAGCATTAAATATAAACTTCACATTTAGGACAAAATAATTATATATAAATGTCAAAATTTTTTTCGCCGCAACTTTTTTTTTGTGTTCACAATCACGACGCGCATGCACTTCCGGTCCAGAATGGAAATTACATATATATATGAAAGATATGAGCATCTCAATGTATATATAAATAACCTTGACCCTGATTCAACTGGCGAGTCTAAAACTCTTGAAACTTGCCACGAAATGCACTCTATGTGTCTGTGGATACGAGGTTCTTGCACTTTAATGCACTCTAGTCACGAGATTATCACTTTCTATATACACAAATTTTTCCCCGATAAATTCATTTACATACGAAATTATTTTTTTATATATTGACAAAATATAAATTTTTTTCGAGTAAAACATCTAAATTGTGATATTATTTCAGATTTGATAAAAAAAAAAAAAATTTTCTAGTGAAAGTAAAGAAAAAAAATTATATAGATTACTTTCTAAATCGGAATTAGTAAAAATGTTTACTAATTTGAATTAGTGACTCACTTTTTGCTTCTGAATTAGTAAAATTTTACTAATTGTTAGTAAAAGTTACTAATAATTAGTAGAATTTTACTAATTGAGAAGCAAAAAGTGAGTCACTAATTCAAATTAGTAAACATTTTTACTAATTCAGATTTAGAGAGTATATTTATGATTGTTTGGAGAGAGTTAAAGTATACCAAAATTTTCATTTAATTTCCCTTTAACAAATTTTATTTATAATAAACTGAAAAAAAATTTATTTCATTCAAATAATCAATTACTTTATTATCAAATAAATATTTAATAGAAATCAAATAATTTTTGAGTCAGTTAAATATTTGTTAAAAATAAAAGAATTTATAATAAATAAATAAAAAAAAATGAAATAAAAAATTTCAGTTAAATACAGTTCTTATAAAATGAAAATATTCGGTTAAATGGAAATTTAGCTAAAGATTTTTTTCCACGATTATACACCAACAAATTGATATAATGCCAAAAGATTGACGTGATACGTTGATGCCAATCGATTTGCTGGCATCTATCCAAAAACTTCATAGTCATCTCTCGCTAACTTGCCGGAAAGAAGAGGTTTTCAGTGTCTATAAATCATGCAGATAACCAGAGTTTGGTATATATATATATATATATATATATATATATAAAAGGGAATAATGTCTAGTTGTCTATAGCATTTATAAAATTGACGTAAATCGCTTTTGGGAATCTTTCATTCTTTTATTGAGTAATATCAAAATTTAATTTCGTTTCATTATTTCCTCCTCCGCACGCGAAACATAAATTTTAATTTCGTTTTTAAATTTTTTCATTTTCAAAAAAAAAAAATTAAATTTTATTATCAACGCATAAATACTTTTCAAACTAGAGAAATTTTTATTCAGTTTGTTCGACACGAAAAGTGTTTTATTTTATTTTTGCAATGATTGAAAACATCATTTCCTGAACAGCAGAAACGATTTAAAACTCTCTCTCTCTCTCTCGCGATGTTATTTCTGCGAAAAAATTCTCAATTTTGTCCAAAGAAGTAAACAAATTTATCATAGAGTGTAAAAATTTAATTTGAAAAAATAAATTAATTCAACTTTTAATAGGTGAAAAAAAAATATACACATTTTTGAAAGAAAAAAAAAAATTATCAAATTGCAATCAAAAGTTAATTATAAAACTATATGCAATAAAAAAAGTTTTAATACCATTTTAAATAACTTTTATAGATAAATTGGTTTATTTTTTTTACTTCTTTTTTAATGCTTTAATGAAAAAATAAAAATACGAATGGTAAATATATGATATTTATTTCTAATTAAATTGTAACGAAACAAAAACACAATTTTTTATTGCGAAGTTAAAATTAATTAAATAATAATAAAATATAGTAAAAATAAATAAATTTTAAAATAATTTTTAATGGTAATATTTTCTATTTCCTAAATTATAGAAATAAATTGAAAATTCAAATAATAAAACAAAAAATATTTCTAAGAATACAATAAAGTTCGCAGAGGTAACGACAAATTCAAAAACTTTAAAACTTTTCACAAAGTCAATTTGAGTTAAAAGTTCACTCCTAAGTATCCCATGAATTCATTTCTAATTAAACACATTGTCAGTTAATCAAAGGAACTTTGCTTTTCTGACAATTTGTTCTTTTCATTTATTTACAAAGGTTCAATTTCGTTAAAATAGAAAAGAAATTTTATTTTGAAGAAAATAAAAAAAAAAAGAAATTGGGAGTATTTTTCAATTCTAATTAAATTTATTCTTCGAGGGAAAATACAAACTTTGGGAAAATTAATGAAAGTTAAGCAACAAACTATATTGAAGAAATATTTATAAAAAAAACACAGACTCAAAAAAACAAATCTATATCGAGTATTAATGCAAATTTGTTAATAAAAACTTGTGATACACTCAGATTTATAAGAGTATATAGAAGAACTGGAATATACCATTGAGGTTTCTCATAAATCTCGCACCTTTAAAAGTTTGTTTTTATCAGATGAAGTGCACAGAGACTACAGAAACTACACTCAAGGAATTTTACAACCTATATTATCATAAGATCTTAAATCTCTATACTTCTGAAAACTACTGTGGTATATCCATTAAGTACTTTATGTTAATAAAATTTTTTTTCTGAAAAAAAATTTATCAACTTTTGTAAAAGAAAATAAAAATAAAGAAAACAATTCCAAACATCTTCTTTTTACAGAAAACAAAGTTTTAATTTTCAGCCCTAAGATATATAGCACTGTCCAACACAATTTTTGACCCACAAACAAATTTCACATTTTCGGAAACTAGGACCCAAAAAAAAAATACCCGTATCTGGCCGTTTTGCCTAGATCAAGTCGTTTGTGGTTTTTAGAGATGAAAACAATCCCTAAATGAAAAGTGACAAGATATCTTTTAAAAATTATTAATATTTTATAAAACTTGGTATCTGGGGGTTTTCCGGGTCGCTGATTATTAATCTGATGTCAGATTTTCAAAATTCAAAATGGCGATCAAAATTTTAAAAAGTTATTAATTTTTTATTTTATATCCGCCATTTTGAAAATTTAACATCAGATTCGTCATCAGCGACCCAAAAAACCCCTAGATATCAAGGTTTAAAAAAAATTTAATAACTTTTTAAAATTTTGACCGCCATTTTGAATTTTGAAAATCTGACATCAGATTAATAATCAGCGACCCCGAAAACCCCCAGATACCAAGTTTTATAAAATATTAATCATTTTTAAAAGATATCTTGTTACTTTTTATTTAGGGGCTGTTTTCATCCCTAAAAACCACAAATGACTTGATCTAGGAAAACGGTCAGACACGGGTATTTTTTTTTTTTTGGGTCCTAATTTCCAAAAATGTTGGATTTTTTTATTGGTAAAAAAAAAGTTGAATTTTGTCGGACGGTGTAGTAGATTGAAAAAAATCAAAATTTAATTGAAACTCCATTATCTTCTTATAGAAAGAAATATATTTAAATTTTTTGTTTAATTTTTCTATTTTTCCTTAAATAAAAAAAACAAATTTTTAAATATTTTTAAACGCGAAATCATTTTGCGAGAAAAGCAGATTTATATTTGGAAAATGTAACAATTTTTCCTACATTGGCAATTTTATATACATCATGTAAATTTTCAAATATCTTTGTCCCATTCGCGTTTTTTTTTTTTTTTTTTTTTTTTTTTTTTTTTTTTTTTGGATATCTATTATTACTAGAATTTCTCGCGCTTCGAAAGTTTACTACATTTTCTCGTAATGGCGAGAGAAATTTTCATCCCCAAGGCATATAAAATATATACGACCGAGACCCAGTTTTCACACACACACATACACACACTGCGTTGGTTTTCCAGTTAAATTTTTCTTTTGAGAAAAAAAAAAACGATTCACAGCACCGCGAAGTTTTAAATTTAAAATTCTTGTGTGCCATCTTGCGTTTTTCTTTCCACAAGGAAAAATGAAAGAAAACTTGAACTTGGCTCAAGGTAAACTATTATAATCAAATTCTAAATGATTTCTCTTGTAAAAAAAAAAATACTTTTTTTCCAAATTTTCATCTAAAACCATATTTTTTTTGCAAAATTTGTTAATTAAATAATCTAAAAATATGTATTATATTTTATTAATAATTTTGATATTTTGTTTTATAAGTCAATGAAAAGAAAAACAAAAAAAAAAAAAAAAAAACTAAAGGTAAACGTAAACAATAAGAACAGTACAAATGACAAAGCTGGCAATGATAACAGCAATTTGAGTTCTATTTCGTATGAAAAAATTAATGGAGAAATTTTGAGATTGAATTGGTTGATTTTCCACCATTTCTTCTCTCATTGATGGCTCATTTGTCGGAATTGATATCACCGCATCTTCAGAAGTCTATAAATTCATTTTTTTTTTCTTTAAAAAGCAAATACAAGCTCTTTGATTAATTTTTTTAAAGAGTTACTTCATTTCATAAGAAATTACTATTATAAAATATTTTTAAATAAAAGAAAGAAAAAAATTTATCAATATCAACAAAATTTGTTATTTTAATTGAATTAAAATATATATTATTACCGTGTTTTGAACTTTGGGAATATTTTTTTTAAATATGGGATTAAACGAAAAACTAAAGGGTTTCTTAAGACGTTGTGGATTAATTATTTCTTTTAGTTGATCATCCTGAGATTTTAAATCAACATTCTCAAAGCAAACTTTAGCTTTTGTTGTTTCTTCTCGTTCAACGATAAATTCTGGTGTAAATGTTAGAGAATTGGATTTCAATTTTTCGTTAGAACAAACTTCGTTTTCTTGAGAATGTGCCTCGTTTACCTTTTCAAATTTTGATTTGAAATTTTTTTTATTATATTATTTATTTATAATAGTAAATATATTATTACAATTATAAATATATTTATAATTATTTTATTATAATTGTTTATGATAATTTAAAATGAAAACAATGAATAATGATAATGAAAAAAATAATTTCTATTTTTATAAAATATAACTTTAATTCTTTTTTTTTTACTCCGAAAGAGATAAATGTGACAAGAAATAAATATTTAATGATGCTTTTCTCACGATATTGAAACATTAAAATCTCTATTATTATTTTAAACTGATGTGAAAATTATTCGACTTTATATTGAGAATCGTGAACAATTTACAATTAAATTAATTAACGTACCATATAATTATTATTATATATATATATATATAAAGCACTAAAATTCTGTTCCAACATAATAAGTAATGCAATTCAATGTAATTAAATTTTCAGTTTCGCTAATGCAAATACACTTTGAAATATTGACAGTTAATACGAATCTATAAAATCAGTTAATAAATAAACAATTTAAAATTTAATGAAAAATAGAATGTTTACTGTAATTTTGTTTCATGTGAAAAAAAGATACATTATTAATTACATTATTAATTAAGGAAATTAATTTTTTCAAAACGTTAATTAATTTTCAATTTTTTCATTATTTATTCTATTTTAAAAATTATTCATATTTTCATTTTGATATTAATTATTTCATCAATATATGAAAAGAATATTGATTTCATTTTAGCAATTTTAATAATGTTCGACAAGTTTTTTTTTTTTTTATATACCTCTGGGAAATCTTTGATATCATTTGGAATTTGAAGTTCCTCATCACCTGGTTCACCAGATGGGCATTCGCGAACATGTCTTTTCACATGAATTTCTTTCTCGTTCTTTATTAATTCTTTGAGTGGAAAATTTTCTAAATCTTCAATTCTATGACTTATAATATTACACTCGTCACCCATGTTTTTAATATAAATTTGCAAAAATTGTTTATTATTATTTTTCTTGTCACAAGGGGTGAAAAAAAATTCATTCCTACAAAACAGCAAAATATTCACGCATATGAGTTTAAATTTACATATATATGTGTGTGTGTGTGAAAAAAGAAACATAATTGTATTTAATATTTTATACCTCGAATATGTCAAACAGTGAGAAATATGAGGGTAATTAAAAATTCCATTCAGTATTTTGTATTCTAGATAACAGTTGATATTTTCGAAACATCCATATTTTTTCTGCTCACACACTGACAACCAAAACCCGAAACAAATGAATATCTACAGCAGAATTGAAACTCAATTATTATCGATTGGAAAAAATTTGAATTCCAAAAACAAATTTAAAAAAGATGAGATAAAATTAAATCAAAACTTTTTAATTCCGTACACTGAAAAAAAAATTTATTTTATTACTTTCGACTATTATCAAATAAATATTTATTTGTATCAAATAATTTTTATTTAAATTAATAAAAAAAAATTGTATTTGAACCAATAATTTCTGTATTTGGGATAAATACCATTTAATTGATTCAAAAAATTATTATTTGATACAAATAAATATTTATTTGATAATAGTCAAGTAATCGAGTATTTGAATCAAATCAATTTTTTTTCAGTATATATAAGAGAATATATATAATAATAAATGTGAAAATATTTCAATGAACATGTTTTTAAAACGAGTACCTTGTCGTTGTTATAAAATAGAGTAATGTATAATATACATTTTAAGATTAAAAGAGGTGATTGCTCGACTTTTTTTTTATTATTTTTTTTTTCCACCGAGCATCGATTTTTATTATATTAATATTTTCTAGCCTTTCTCAGGTGGTGCGTGTCAGATTATAAAGGTCGATCTACTATCAATGCAAATTAGAATTAAATTCTTTTGAAAAAAAAATATATATATGAGAATTTTTTTTCCCCCACTATTTTCAATACACAATACAGATTAGGACCAAAAAAAGAAAAAATTTTTTTTCTATCGTTTTGTTATAATAGACCTTGACCTATACATCTAAAGGAACATTTCCACAATTTATTCGAGAGTAGATACAAACGCCCTTCGAACTGATCGATAAGACAACTTGAGGTTTATATTTTACCTCGTTAAAATCTCAAAGATATATAGATGTTCACGCAAAGCTCATTATTATTAAAGTTCATCTGATTTGAAGATATTTTACAATTTTTTTTTAAAAAAAATCTTTTTTATTGCTTCTAATTTATCATCGTAGAAAGAAAAAAAAATTCCAGAATTAGCTAAAATTTTCACTAAAAATAGATGTGCAACTTAATAATTAATGAGTTTAAATACTTTAATATTTATCAATGATCTTTGCATGAACACGTGCATCGTAAAAATATTTACGAGGAAAGCCATTAAATTTTTAATCTCTATCCACCGAGTGCGGTTCAAGTTATATATATATTAATATTTTAGTTGAAACTTCAAAAAGTTTGTATTTTACAAAAACTATATGTATATCAATTTAGTTATATTTTTTTTAAAATATTTTACATTTCATAAAAACAACTTTTTAAATATTTAACGAGTGTTTATGATAGTTTTTCTTTTTCTACAAAATTGTAATTAAATAAATAAATTTAATTTACACAGAATGAAAAATTTATTTTACTCAAATAATCGGTTACTTTCTAAATCTGAACACATAAAATTAAAAGGCATTAAAATAAGCTGCAACGCTTATTATTTTAATTCAATTTTGCTTATTTTAATCCATTTTGGTATTAAAATAAGCAAAATTGGATTAAAATAATAAGCGTTGCAGCTTATTTTAATGCCTTTTAATTTTCTGTGAATTAGTAGTTTTTCTATAGAAAACTACTCTCTAAATCTGAATTAGTAAAAAATGTTTACTAATTTGAATTAGTGACTCACTTTTTGCTTCTGAATTAGTAAAATTTTACTAATTATTAGTAACTTTTACTAACAATTAGTAAAATTTTACTAATTCTAAAGCAAAAAGTGAGTCACTAATTTAAATTAGTAAACATTTTTACTAATTCAGATTTAGAGAGTGCTAATTAAGATTTAGAGAATACTTGACCAATAATTTCTGTATTTCAAACAAATACAAATTTAATATTATAATAATATTATATTTAATACAAATAAATAATTATTCAATACAAATAAATATTTATTTGATATTATTTGAATCAAATAAAAATTTTTTCCAGTCTATGTTTTGCTTTTTAATAAAAATTCAAAGATAAAAAAAAATTGATATGATATGGATATAGGAATTGCGCATATGAAGGAATTTGAACGTGCTCAAGTTGAGTCAACATTCTGTGCGGTGGATTATTACTTGACCTTAAATTTAAATCAGATTGCAATTAATGGAAACGAGGGTGAGAAGGTTTGTGTAAAGTCTATCCCGAAAATCAGATGTCTCGTGACTTTGAAATTGCCTTATGAATATTTATGAAACTAGCACATGTGTGTGTATGAATGACGCAATTATGATTAGCCTTTATACAAGAAATAAAAACGCACGCAATATTTTTAAGCTTTTTTTTTTTTTTTTGACAAAATTGGTTCAAATATATACAATTTATTTAATTCAAATAAAAATTATTTGGTTCAAGTAAATATTTATTTGGTAATATATTCAAGTAAACGATTATTTGAAAATTTTTTTTCCAGTGTAGAATAGATCATTTTATATAAATTGCATTTAAATATAAATTATTGAAAAAAGCAAACGAGTTACATTCATCTGAAGCACAAAAAAAAAATCCGTACTTCTTATCATTCCGTAGTAAACCATTAATTTTACTGGCTTTAATGGATATTTGGTCAGAAGAGAGAGAAAGCTCCGGCATTAATTTTAGAAAAGCTTTAGAACTCGTGAGCTTTCCATGGCCAAAACATTATTTTGTGCAGATTCTCATTTATATCTGTTTAATGTATTTATAATTATATTTGCATCCCATTTAGAGAAATTCTTTTCACGTCAGGTGAACACGAATATATATGATAATTTTCCTATATTCGACATATTCCAAGCGAATTAATCCGTATAAAAAATGTTTTTAATTTGAAATGTTAAAACGACTTTTTATAGGTATTTTGGAGAACTTCTCAAGTTTTCTCTTTTACCAGATGAATATGTGAATATTAACATGGAAATTATTATGATGACGATCATTAAAAAGAAATGGATAGAAATTTTTTTTTTTTTAAATAATTTATATATAAAAATTTAAAAACCTTGCGAAAAGAAAATTCGAAACAAAAGAAAAAGAAAAATTATTGCTGACAAAATAGAATTTTAATTCTTTTGGCATACAAAAAGATATATAAAAAAAATTCTATTTCTAAATCAAAAAAAGAAACTTAAAATTTAAGCAGCATTACGAATATATAACTTGGTGACATTGAAAAAGTTTGCAATTTTTTTTTTCTTTTTGGATTATATCCAAAATCCAGCAGATTTTATAAATGTATATACCGCGAATAAATATTGTTTCCTGGAATCTTTCCAGTAGCGTGAGGACTTGCTATTTTATCATCAAAATATAATAAATTATAAAAATACTCTTCTTCCCATTCTCTAAACGAACCTTTGGTACCTATATACTTGGTCAATATATAGATTAAATAAAACAAGAAAAATAATCATGTTTTCTGCACCATTCTGATTTGAAATGAAGCCAAATAGGTTATTCCTTTTTTTTTACAAATGAATATTAATTTTCTATCCAGTTTATATTTTTTTTTCAAAAAGAATTTTGTTTCTAAAATTTCAAAAATATTGATACAATTTAATAATTTTTTTTATTCATTTGAACGTTTGTAACTTAAAAGACACATAGCAGAAAATTCGACAAAGGTATGCAATTTAATCGGAACAATTAAGGCTCAGGTTTGACTCGTTCTCTCTTGAACGAGAAATTAGCTACACACCGCAGGCTCAGCTTCCGACAGAATGGGACATTTAATGACTTTGGATCTGTGTAGCATGTTCTGCAAATAAGTGTCACTGGGAATTAGCGGAAAATTAATGGCAAATTTTCCACATGCTCAACTAATTAATTTTTCTTTTTTTTCATTTAAAGTTTATAATTTACTTTTTAAAATGAAAAAAAAGAGGAAATGATTGAAAAGTTCATATCAATATTTGGTAGGAGTATAACATCGATAAATGGGGTATATGTGTGTATTTGACGTTTCCAATATTGGAAAATTTACGATAGCCAACAACAACAACTATTATCAACACTCGGCATTCTTAACCATTTTCGAGACTATATGGATGTATATATATGTATCAGTAATACAAAAAAAGCAAAATAATGCAAAAAAAAAAAAATTTGAAGAAAGACAATTTAAGGATAAAAAAAATCTTAATTTCCTACGCAATTTTATATATTCTAATTTTTTTAAAAAAAAGATGACCTAATCCAGAGGAACAAAAAAGAACCAATTAATTCAAAATTTTGTCAACATTTCTGCCATTAAATTAATAAATCGCATATTTTAGCGTTTTTTAAAAAATTTTTTTGAAAAAAAAAACATCAGCAATGCGGATATTCAAGGGGTAGACATTCAAAAGAGCCGCACCTGAACCCAAAGTATCGACCCAAATTGTCGCTCTCTGTCTCTCTCTTTCTCTATTTGGCTCTATCAAACAATTCCCGTAATATCTTTTTTTTTGGATTATTTAACGAACAATTTAAAAAAAATAAACATCTAATTCTTTAATTAGAAAAAAAACTATCAAGGCTGAAAAAAGTTTTGAAAACTTTGTTTCTACTTCTAAAAATTTTAATAAATTTTTATAATAAATGTAGAATTAAAAATTTCAATTATATTGTTTTAGGTAACACTTTCGTTTATTTTTCTCTTTTTTATATTCTATGTAAATTTTTATAAGAAGCTTAGCATTATATATCTCTATTTAGGAATACATATATATAAAGGATCAAAGTTTCTCGCAAGAGAAAAAGAGACAAAAGTTATACAAGTTTTTATTGTTGCAAAACAAGATTATTTTCCATTTATCTACTATATGTGGGAAATTTTTCTTTAAAAAAAAAAAAATAAGAGATAATTTTGAATAAAATTTTTGCTACTGTAATAAACTTTGAAAAACCTGTTTCATGAGCCAGAAACAGAATTATACAGTCTCTCCATATATATGCATTGTTACAATAATCTATATATCAAATTTATCTGTTATCTCAGAGAGCTCAAAATTTATATATTACATATATCAAGTTTGCATGGAATTCAAATTCTTTTTAGGGATTTCAAGTGAAAAAAGAATTTTTTCCACTCGTGTATAAATTTTGGTAATTTTTGTAATTCTATTTCATCCAAAAAAAAAAGTTAAAATTTAATTTTTTTTGGTCAAAAGCTTTTTATTATAAAAATGCCTTTTTACCAATAATTCACAAATGAAATTAAAAATTAACTCTTTACGCAAAAATATCGTAACGATAAAAATATATATTATCGCAATGATAAATAGAGTATATAAAACGAGAATACAAAGGCATCGCAGGATATATGGGAATCAAAGTTATATATCTTACACTTAAATTTTATTCGCTGCCAATAAAAAAAAAGCATGGCGAGATGATCGAACAGAAAATAAAAATTGTCATTAAAATAAAATAGAACAAGGATATTTAGTTTCTATTCGCAAATCAACAAATTTGTTGAACAAGATTATTTTTTTAACTCTCTTCCAACATAGATCTGCTAAAAAAAATCTATAAACCTAATATAAAATGAAATCCAAACACACCCAAAGCTCAGATTAAAAAATCGGGATAAAAAACGGAAAATATATAGAATCTTTAAAATAAAAGCAATTTATTTTTCTAAACTATATTATATTTAATAGAAAACATTATTTTTATTTGTTATTATAAAGTTATTATAAAAATATTTGTATTAAAATAATTATTATTTTATAATAGGAAATTATTATTATTATTATTATTATTATATTATATAGTTAATTATATAATAAAAGAAATATTCCCATTTCCTTCAATTATTATAACAATTTTGAATAAAGACAAACTGTTGATGTGGAGTTGCCAAATCAGTAACAAATCTAATATTCAATCTTTTTGCAAAATTTAGTTTATTGATTATTTCATTTTGTTTTCCATGGATTGTTTGAAGTATTGCTTCTTTATGTTGCTTTACATATCTTTCATGACTCTATTAAAAAAGATATAAAAAATATTTTTAATGTTTTTAAATTATTTAAAAAAATAAAAAAATTCTACTTTCTGCTTCATTATTCCTATATTATTAAAAACTCACATTTTTTACATCTTCAACATATGTTCGAATTTCACTAACATATCTTTCCAATTCAGAAATTTTTAGCGTTTTGTCATTAAGAAGATGATTAATTCTATCATTGTTTTCTTTTATCGCCTGTACACACTCCCTATTTAAATTGTGACCTTTATTAGCATCTAAAGCCTTAACAGAGAATTTATATTTATTAAATAATTGTATGATTTTCTGATTATTATTATTATTATTATTATTATTATTATTATTATTATTATTAATGTCAATTTAACTTAAATAAATTACCACATTTTCTCTACGTCTTTTAATATCAGTTTTAACTGGTTCTATAAAATGTTCAATTTCACCGCATTTTATTAATAAAAAATTTACTGCTCTTTCCACTTGAGACTAAAAAATAAATTTCATGTAAACAAATAAATTGTAATAATTATAGATAAAATTGTTTAATGTTTTTTTTAACACTTACATCAGCATTGCTGCCAACAATTATGGTAATTGTAAATATCAATAAAAACATTTTAGCCATTTTTTAATTTTGAATTTTCCTTATATACAACGTAATTGATGATGCTTAGTGTGATCTAATTATAAAATTGAAGCAAATTACACGCTTTATATATAGAAATTGGATAATAGAATTTTAATTAAATCTACTGTTATTTAAATTAATAATAAATAATTTTCTATTGCATAGATAAGTATGATAATAAAAAAAAAGAAATAATAATAATACGATTATCATTGAATAATTAATTTGATGAATTTTTATTTAACCAAAAATTGTAAAAAATTTTTAATTGAAAATATTTTTAAAACAATGACACACTTGTGCTAATAACAAATTTGAAAAAATTTGTTCTAAAAATTAAATTCACCGATAAAATTTAAATACAATTTTATAGATAATAATAGATCAAAAAGAATTTTTAATTTAAATAAGATAACCTTTAAAATTTAAACGAAAACAACACACATTTATTTCAATTCATAAAAACTAAAATGTTTTTATACATAAAAATTTTAATTTCGAAACTTTTTTTTTTTTACGTCATTATAAAGTAAAAACACATTTACTGATCAATTTTTACGATTCGTAAGAGAGAAAAAAAAAGAAGACACGAAAATAAAAGTCGCGCATGGAGCATTTCTTGTCATAAAAGAAAATTGCTGTTTTTTTACGTTCTCCCTAAAGTCACATATATATACGAATATATGTATATACTTGAACTAGAAATCCCTACTCACTGTGTGCGAGAAAAAAAAATGTTTGTGCGCAACAAAATTCAATTTAATGAAATTAACTGAACTTTTCGTTCTGCAATAAAAGATTATATCAAAATATAGTTCTTAAAAGTCAAAAACTCGACTAAATTGCTGTGATGGAAGGGGAAAGTGTGCGTAAAAGACAAATGTTTCGTTTAAAAAAAATTAATAATTCAATTCATATTTATCTATTATTAATATTTCATACATAAATAAAAGATTAAAATAATTTTTTGATACTTTACTATATGTAATAATCGTTCTTAAAATAAAGAATTTTAAAACAGTGTCGAATTAAACACTTAAAAAATGACACGGCGAACATTTTTCTTCATTTTTTATCATTATTTTTTTTTTGCAATGAACTTTAATCCCGTGAGCTTTGATATAATCTTTTTTTATAGTATATATAAGAGGGAACAATAAAAATTTAGCTCATGAAATAAATAAAGAATGATATATAAGAGGGAATTAACTCTTTCTCTTTTTTTTAATATATATACTCTGACAGAACAATTATATTTCAAAAAAATTAATAAAAATAAACGAAATATTTTAAAAAGCTCAACAACAATCTCTCTTCGCATTAATATCAAAGGTATATATAATATCCTCTCATCTATATGAAAGAACCATTAATACACTTTAGAATAGTCCAGTCACATTTGCATATAAATGCTTCCTTTTCATTATCACACAAATTCTACTGAAAATAGAAAAATTTCTTTTTATTTTCCAAATTTTAGGAAGGTGAATTATCTTTGATAAATAAAAATTCAAAGGACTTGAAAAAATAATCCTTAAAAAAGGAAAAAAATACAGTCACATAATAATCATCCTTGATTTTAAAAAAAGCACCAGAGAGAACATATTGTCTAAGACAGCTTTACTTTATATACATATATATTGTCAAGTGTAAAGTACTTTTCCGAAAAAAGAAGCCTTAATGACGACTACTTTTCTATTCATGAAACTCAAGTCTTCTTTATGAAAGAAACTCCTGCCTTTTATAGGTATATATAAGGTGACATTTAGTCTGAAAAACCATATCATGATAATAAAAATACTAAAAAAAAAATAAATTTTTCCTTAATTTCTTTAACTAAACAAAAACCCAAAAAAAACAAAATCTTATATGCGCTAAAAATGAGAACAATATATTTTGATGTCAAAATAGTGAAGATGAAAAATGAAGACAATTTTTTGAAATATTTTATCTGGGTCATTTTAACTGGAAAATTCACCAAAACGTAATTTTCTCTATTCATTTAAAATCCATCTCACATGCAAACTGTTTGCATATAATTATAAATTCACACAACTTCCACTTTAAATGGATCTTGATAGATTTGAAGCCCACCTTTCAAGAAACTAATATAGCTCAAATGAATTTTTATAAATATTTTCCTCTAGTGAAAAATTGATAAGCAATTAATTATTACTTTTATTAATAAATTATATATACTTTCCGCTTCAACACTTTCTCTACTGATACAATATTATTTTATTGGATTCTGATAAACGTGACATTTTCAATTATTCGGTGCAAATGCACTTATTTGCATCAATAACTTTATCTTTTCACTACAGTCATCTTTGTTTTTTAATTCACTTCCTAACGGCACTGAAAAAAACAGTTCAATAATAACTTGATTAATTAAAGAAATCATAATGAAGAAAAATAAATGAAAATATTTTTTTCATACCGAAATTTGTTTCCGAACCAATTTATCCGAATTTAAAGTTAACTCAAGAAAACCAGAATTTCTTTTTTCAATGTATACAATAATACAGTGGAACCTCGATTATCCGAACCTCTATTATCCGAACCCTCTATTATCCGAACTTCTATTATCCGAACTATTTTTTGGTCTCCCGAATTTTAAATTTTGTTTTCTCTATTTATTTTATCATTCATATTTTCGCGGGAGATTTTGGCAAATTTATGCCAAAAAAATCTTAAAAATTTACGAATTTTCTGAGTTTTTAATATACATATTATTAATTAATATATATTCACATATATGTATATACTTATGTATATTTAAAACCATATGTATTAAGTTAAATATATAGTTCAACTGTACATTTTTTTACTTTAATTATAAAAAAAAATTAAAATCTCTATTATCCGAATTTTCGATTATCCGAACACGGCCTTGCCTATAGATTAGTTCGGATAATCGAGGTTCCACTGTAATTATTTTAGCGAAACGTTTCAAGAAATATACACGCGTACCCTTATAACATTTCTCAATAGTGAAAATTGTATATATTTTAGTCAATATAACGGAAATGAATTGAATAGATATATAACAAAGGAAACTTTAAACGTGTCACGTCAAAGTTTATTGAAAGACCCCTTTCAAGAAGTACTAGAGTTTTGATCAGGTCACGAAATGCAAAATGTCATATAAGCTACACTTTGTCATTTATATAATAATCCTCAAAAACTATATATTTGATACAAGTTCTGTTTAAAATTAAGAAGAATCGAAAAATCGATGAAAAATAATATATGTGAGATTAAATACATGGAATTTGCTGCTGCAATTATAATAATATTTCCTATATATTAAAGGGGGCGCCAACTTTATAGAGGGACAAAAAATTACTATAAAATTTATACACATCACAAAAAAAAAAACTAAACTCAGAATGAGTCGTAGGCCGCTCATTTTGATGTGCAACAAAAATGAGTCGGGTTGGTGGCGCCACTTTCTATGTCGTTTAGCATTGACTCATTTTGAGTTGCAACAAAAATGAGACTAGATTTTTTCTGTGATTTTTTGACCTTCTACACTAAAAAAAAATATTATTTGATTCAATTACTTGATTACTTGACTATTATCAAATAAATATTTACTTGAACCAAATAATTTTTATTTGCATTAAATAAACTGTATATTTGAATCAATAATTTATGTATATTTAAAACAAATACAAATTTAATTGATTGAAATAAAAATTATTTGGTTCATGTAAATATTTATTTGATTATAGTCACTCTCTTAATTTGAATCAGTGAAATTTCACTGGTGAAATAGCTAGAAGTCGGTTACTGAATCATTTAATGAAATTTTCACTGAAAATCAGTCATATATCACTGATGTCCAGTGAAAATTTCATTAAATGAATCAGTCAATCTGTATTATCGGTAATGGGTAAAACAGATTGACTGATTCATTTAGTAAAATTTTCATTGGAAATCAGTGATATATGACTGATTTTCAGTGAAAATTTTACTAAATGATTTCAGTAACCGACTTCTAGCTATTTCACCAGTGAAATTTCACTGATTCAAATTAAGAGAGCAAGTAATCGAGTATATTTGAATCAAATAAATTATTTTCATTGTACTCTCTAAACTTGACTTAGTAGTTTTCTACCAATGAAAGAGTGCGGATTCGTTTAACAATTGAATTAGTAACAGTTTTGACTCTTTTTTTTAGTAGAAAACTACTAATTAATGGAGTAAATCGTATTTTTTACTATTTTAAATTAGTAAGCCGATTTACGTTTACTAGTAGTTTTCTACTAAAAAAGAGTCAAAACTGTTATTAATTTAATTGGTAAACGAATCCGCACTCTTTTATTACACTGAAAAAAAAAATTTATTTGATTCAAATACCGGTGTATTTGGTTATTATCAAATAAATATTTACTTGAATGAAATATTTCTTATTTGAATCAAATAAATGGTATTTGCTTCAAATACTGAAATATTTGATTCAAGTAAATATTTATTTGATAATAACCAAATATACCGGTATTTGAATGAAATGAATTTTTTTTTCAGTGTAGTAGAAAACTACTAATTCAGATTTAGAGAATAAAGTAGGAGCCCCCCTTAAAAAAAATATTTGATTCAAATTATCGGTTACTTTACTCTATGTATTATATAATATAAATGATTAAAACAAATGAATTGCTTTTTGAAAATATGTCCTAATTTTTGTTGCAGATCTTGAGTAATAGACCAATGAGCATATCATACGATAGTAGCGATTTGGAAACGAATTGGCGAGATAGTGAATTTATAACTGAATGTTTGTGCTGGCATAATGTTTATCGACAACGACATAACGCTGTACCATTAACAATGTCACCGCAGGTAAAATATATATAATACAATATAAAGCATATGTCAACTGCAGATATCAAACCTGCACTCTTGAATTTACTGTTAACATTCCTCGTTAACAAACGACATCACCTATATGTATATACATATAGTGTCAGAGAGAGAAAGAGAGAGTGTTAATGTCATAAACGTAAATTATGTTTACCTCTACTGAAATTCTATATTTACCGTGTGAACATTTGTTTTTTTTCCCCCAACGTTTGTCACTTTCAAATCACAAAAACAAATGAAAACAAAAACAGTTTACAACAAGCGGAAAAATGACAAATCAAATATTAAATTTTAATGCTCTTTCAATAACTATTAATTTTTGAATTAATAAATTCTAAACGTAATAATAGTCAAATTAAAATTTTTTAAGAAATAATAATAATAATCAAAAAAAAAATTATTATTCACCATTTGAAGAATCAAAAGCGAGAAAATATTTTCACTTTTAATTTTGTAAATATAAATGTTACAGCTCTGTGAATATGCTCAAACGTGGGCGAATCATCTAGCTCATACAAATACATTTTATTATCGTAACGAACGTGAAGTTGGACAAAATTTATATTGTCGACCGGGTGGAGGTGTGCCTTGTGATGTTGCAGGACAAGAGGTTGCAGCTTATTGGTATTCTGCTGTTAAACAATACGATTTCTTAAAGGAACCCGTAAATGCAAACGTAAATGCAGGTAAACTTTATTTTACAAAATATTAAAAAGAAACTTAAGAAGCAAAATTTCTCTTTTAAATAATGTGGAAATATAAATTTAATGAGAATTTTAGAAAGATTTAAAAAATAGCAATATTACAAATTGACATTCGCTTATGTATCATTAAGAATTGGATGAGTATTTAAAAAAATATATATAACAACGGCTCGTTGGTCTAGGGGTATGATTCTCGCTTTGGGTGCGAGAGGTCCCGGGTTCAAATCCCGGACGAGCCCATTTTTTTTTTTAAATTTGGAACAATTTTATCAACCTATTACGATTTTATTAATTTTTTTTGACACGTCGATTTATTACAACTAATTATTATACACTGAAAAAAATTTGATTGTATCAAATAAATATTTACTGAATCAAATAATTTTTATTTAAATTCAATAAACTGTATTTGAAAAAATAATTTCTTCAAATATATCATTTAAGATCAAATTATTATTTAATACAAATAAATATTTATTTGATAAATAGTCAAGTATAACGAATTATTTCAAATAAATTTTTTTTTTCAGTTTCAGAATTTTATGTATAGTTTTTTCTATATCATTTATTTTATGAATTTAAATTTTTATTATAGAACATCAAAGTGAAAAAAAACCTTCTACTTCGAAATATTGAATCTTTTGTGTTTATGTTATTGATATGTCCCTGACCTTTTTTTCGTGAGAATGATAAGTCAATTGAATTTAAAATATCTCTGCAGTATTGTAAAAAAAAATTGTTATCAATATGTTAAAATTTAACTATAAAGAAGTGAAATATTTGAATATTAAATTAATCATTAAAAAGAATAATCAAATCCTAAACAGGAAAAAACTGAAAAGACAAAATATCCAGAAAATATTTTTTAATATTGTTCACACGTACTTTTCAAGTTTTAAAATTTAGTTTTGTAAAAAAAAGGAACAGGGAATGTAAACAAAATTAATGTAACATAGCCATATTCATCTCCTAAACGAAGAAATTCGATCTTTATATTATTATCAAAATTATAAAAAATCTATTAATCACATTGTAATTTCTATAGATTTTCCCCATAATCTCAACATGCATATAATATATTTCTCTTTCTATCATATTATGGTCTCCTGATCCAATGTTCTCCTGTGCGCAGGTCATTTCACGCAGCTGATCTGGGCCAGCAGCCGACTCTTTGGTGTTGGAAAGGCAAGGAGTAGGAGCGGTAAAATAATTGTTGTTGCTAACTATCAACCAGTTGGAAATATTTCAGGACAATTTCAACGAAATATTTTACCCCCATTACCTGAAAGTGCCAATTTACCCCTACCTCCACCATCAAGAATTCGTCAACAAAGTGAGACCCCAATATCAGAAATGTCCTCAAGTAGTAACAGTAGTGCAAGTACACAATAATACAGTCAACCAAACTGCCTTTTCTGCGTCTGCACGCAACGGGACGAGCAACGATGAATTTACTGAATAATCTCACGGTAATGTGATAAAAAAAAAAAAAAAAAAGAGAAAAATGATCATTCTATGAACAAACAAACCCTTGAAGAAGAATTCAAAATTCATTAAAATATTGGTTTATAATCTAAAACAGAACAATCGAAGATGACAAATTTTCATCAAAACTATAGACAATCAGAAATAAAAAGAAACAATCAAAGAACCACACAATAATAATTAATTAACAATCACAATATTGGATAATTTAAAATCAGTATTTCTTTAATATCTGACAAAAGACAATATTCAATTCTTTTGTTTGAGGCCCATGATTTTTCCCAAAAATTAAAAAGGTCGAAAATTTAATTGATCGAATTACATTAAGTCGATATTTTATTTGAACGAAATTCTAAATGATCGATATTTAAAATGATCAACATTTTAAGGCACTCTCACACCTTTTTGGCTGCCTGCAGGTTACCATGGCAACGCATGAGAGTGAGTGCAACAGAAAATTTAAAAATTTGAATATTCAAATTTTCTGTCTTACTCACACTCGTGCGTTGCCATGGTAACCTGCAGGCAGGCAGCCAAAAAAGTGTGAGAGTCCCTTTATTTGGTCGATATTTTATTTATTCGAAATTCTAAATGATCGATATTTAAAGTGGCCGATATTTTATTAAGTCAATATTTTATTTTATCGAAATTCTAAATGATAGACATTTATTGAAGGTCGACATTTTATTCGGTCGAAATTCTAAATAACCGACATTTATAAAGGTCGACATTTTATTTAGTCGATATTTTATTTGATTGAAAATCTAAATGGTCGATATTTAAAGTGGTCGACATTTTATTTTGTCGAAATTCTAAAATGATCGACATTTAAAGTGGTCGAAATTGTATTAGTTAGATATTTTGTTTGGTAAATATTTCAAAATGAACGACATTTAAAGTGGTCGATATTTTATTTGTTCGATATTCTAAATGATAAAAATTTAGAAGCATCGAATTTTATATCCATCGAAATTTCATTTGGTCGATATTTTAAAAGCTCGACACTTTTTTTTATAGCTATACGAGTTTCCTTTCTATGTAGATTGTCGGTAAAGTACATTGAAATTTTGCGAGAAATTTGAAATTATTGATGTAAATCATAATAACAACATATAGAGAGGAAACTCGTATAGCTAAAAAAAATGTCAAGCTTTTAAAATATCGACCAAATTAAATTTCGATTGATATAAAATTCGATGCTTCTAAATTTCTATCATTAAGAATATCGAACAAATAAAATATCGACCACTTTAAATGTCGTTCATTTAGAATATCGACCAAACAAAATATCAAACTAATAAAATTTCGACCACTTTAAATGTCGATCATTTAAAATTTCGACCAAATAAAATATCGACTAAATAAATTGTTGACCACTTTATATATATTGATTATTTAGAATTTCGAATAAACAAAATATCGACCAAATAAAATGTCGACCACTTTAAATATCGATCATTTAGAATTTCGGTCAAATAAAATATCGACTTAAAGTAATTCGATCAATTAAAATTTCGAATTTTTTAATTTTTTGGGAAAAATCATGCGCCTCTTTTGTTTACTTATAAATTTAAAAGACAATAAACTCATTTCTCTATTTTTTAAAAAGAATTTCTCTATATATAATGCATAACGAGAATGATAATAAAAAGTGGTATAAATGCGGAGGAAAGTTTAGAACTTTATAGAAATATGATTGTATAAAATGATCTCTATTTTGTGGTTTATATGGGAATTGAGTATATAGAAAATTGTCATTAAAATCGCATTGGATTGTCGAAACTTGAAACTACCTATATAATAAAGTCTCATTACCGTGAGATACATACTCTAAATGATTCTGCCTTCAGAATCGAAGTGATAAAATGGAGCCTTATACTCGAACCTTTCGAGTCTTAAAATCCCATATAAGAGATAACTTCAAAAAATATTCTTAACTCTTCTTCGATTCTCTCGTTCCTCTGAGACTGAAATCAAATTTGGGAAAATATTGGCCAGATAATATATGCGAAAATGGAAATCAGATTAATTTTACAGTATATATTTACTTGAAATATAAAGAATGAAAAAAAAAATATTAATATTCATCAAGCCTGATAAAAAATTACAAAAGATAAATCACAATTCTTTTTAAACATAAATTTTACTTATAATATCAATTTGGCATAATAATTTATTCCTTACAATCATAAAAAAAGTTAATCCATTTTCTAAATATATATATATATATATATATATTACATCTGGCACACACGCTTCTAAAACATATAATTTAAATGAAGCAAATTTGACTTGCGTTGCGGATAAGAAAAAGCAGTGTAAATATATAATAAGAAATTTTTCCCTTACTATTTCTATCAACGAAAATCGTGATATACAAAAAAAAAAAAAACGAATCACTGCTTATCGCGTGTTTAGGCTGATGTATAAAATAGTTTTAACTAATAAGCTCAGCAGGCGAGGCTACAATCAGAAACATTATCACGATAAAAGCTGCTCACGAATGTTATATAATGTATATATATAATATGTAAACTAATATCATGTAAATGATCAACTAAATAATTATAATTACTATCTAAAAATTAATAATGATTATTGCTCGGCATTAATTTGAAATCTTTTTTTTAAGATCGCACAATTAATATTACAATCAATATCTCACAATCTCTAAAAAAAAAAATTTATTTTAATTTTATTCCAACTATGAATTTATTTTCTTAGACTTTTCACATAAGACTGATATAGTTTTAAAGACACGATTAAAAACAATGTAATTATAATTATTTAATTTACATAGTTAATTTTGTAATTAATTACTTCAATATTGTATAATCATTATTTCTTATATTGAAGCAAATTTATTTGATAATAGTCGATTTTTTTGAATGAAATAAATTTTTTATATATTTAATATTTAAATTTCTTCTTTTGATATAGTTGAAAACTTAGCTACAATTAAAAAATTTACATTCTCAACTAAAATATGGCACATTATTAATTCGAACATAATTGTATTGCTTTCAAATATGCGCACAAATTTATAAAATTATGAAAGAACATGAATTCCAATTTGAATATATATATTCGTATAAATCAAATAGGAACGAAATTAAACGACATTAAACGTCAAAAATGGTGATAAAAAAAAAAGTTTAAAAATAATTGCCAAAAATAATTGTGCTGAGCCTTTGCTTCTGCATTCTACGAGTGCCAAGGCCATAAATAGCAAATATTAATTAACACGAGTAGTTATCAGTGTGGTGAATTTTGATATACAGTTATATATACATATATTTACCGATTATTCAGAGTGACTATAACAATAATATTGAAATTAAGTAAATATTTTTTGTACATCAATAAATGTATGCAAAAAAAAAAAAAAATAATAATTAGATAACATTTTTTCGGTAAATGATACTATATATAAAATGTATATCAATTCACATAAAATAATTTAATTTAAACGCGGTGCCTCGTAACTTTGTATTAAAATTTATATATATATTAATGCGAACGATATTATATTATAAAAAAATGTAATATGATTAAGTTAATGTTTGCTTAAATCATTAATATAAGCTTAAGTGGTCATAAACTTATAATTTAAAAATTTATAAAGTAAGTGGTGCAAAATCATGAAAAAATTTTTTTTTATTTTGTAACCTATTATTAAAATATAATCATTTTTATTAATTTTAATTTCCAATATTATATTAAAGTTAATTAAAATATTAATTTTCTTATACCGCATAAAAAATAGATTTTCTTTATAAAAATGTTGTGTAAAAAAAATTTTTATTTAATAATTATTAATATAATATATTTATATAATTCAACAGATTATTGAATTTTCAAATATAAAACTATAAAAACCTATTATAACCCATAGCTTTGGCAAAATTGAAAAGTGCCTAGAAGTAATTATTGTTCTAATTCAATAAACTTCCATTAATATTATATAAAAGCATACATTAATTCAAAAATAGAATTTTTGCTATAAAACTAATTTTAATTAAAAAAATTTTAATGAATAAAACATATATGTAATCATTTGGAAAAGTTTAATTGCTCAAAACTATATACGAAAAATTATTTTCCTCTCAATATGAGATTATGTTATTCTGGGTGTTAGAAATTAGACTGATAGTAAATTTTACCCATTATATAGAGAGATATAAAAAATGATTATATTCTAAATAAGTTTTTAAATTTTCTTTTTTTTTAAATATATATCATATACGTAGTCCGAAAAGCGTAAAATAAAACGCGAATCATATATGCATATGTAAATACATAAAAAAAAAAAAATAGTGAGATATTTTATATCTTTATTACTATATAAGGATATGCATGAAGCGAATGAAATGAAGTAAATATTTTTTCATATTTTAGTTGGCAAAAAGAATAACGCAAAAAAACAACATTTTGCAATAAAACGGAAAATTTTCTTGTCTAACATTTTGCTCAATAAACACTTTTCTCGAAACATTTTGCACCACAGTTAATGAAATATCAGTTTCACATAAAAAATTTATAATAGTAATAATAAATAAAAACTATACGAATAATTTTAGAGAAAAATTTTAAAATTTGCATAAAAAAAAAAAAAAAAAATGAGGTAAAAAGTGCTTGATGCTTTAAAATAATTTTAAAAAATATTTAAGATTGCTAATTTTTTGGCAGTGCCGTCTATACATAGAATAAAATTTTCATTAAACAAATATAATAAATAATTAAAAAGAACAATCATTTTATTACACTTGTTACCTAATTAATTTTTTTAGAAATTCATATATAATCTATGTTAAAATCAAATTATTATAAAAATTTTGATATAGCGCATTTATTGAAACATATTTTTAATATTAAAAAAAAAAAAATTATCCAAAATTATGAAAGAAAAAATTCTTTTTAATTAAATTCTATAATATTAAAAAGTTTGAAATTTAATTCTCTATATGATGCTTGCATTCAGAAATCATTAGAAAAATATTTTAAATGTGCTTATTAAAAGCAGCCATCGAGCTTTTTTATTGTATAATATATATAGATCAAAAAGACAAATCACTAGATCAAAAACTATTGAGAGCAAATTTTCATCTATCCAATAAGGATCACTTTGACATATATGTATAAGTATAGAGAGAAAAAAATTTAATTTATCTTTAATTATTATTCTCAATCACAAAATGTTAAAAGAAATAAGTCAAATATGTAAATTCATAACTATTTTAAATATTAGTATATAACTATAATTTTATCATTTTTAATAAAATAGATTTTAAGTATATGGAAAAAAAAATGTTAAAAATTATCTCATCTCCGAATGAAAATGTAGGAAATATTTATTTAAAAAAAAAAAGCGCAAATTAATAAGCAAATATAGAGATAAATCTCTATTAAATTTCCTTATGCGAAAGACACGTGTGATACAGAAAGTAGATTAGTAAAATGTAGCGAACTATGTAAATGAGATAATTTCTCTGATAGTTCGTGAAAAAAAAGGTTATTTTTAGTGTGATATAAAACAAAAATTCTCCCAAATTCTTTTTATCTAATTCTGATAAATTTATATTTTATGTGAAAAATATTAAACTTTCAAAATTTCAGTTACAACAAAATTAATAATAAAATTATGTTGTAAAAATTATTTTTTTTATATTATCTTTTAATTTTTTTTGTGTGTGTATACATTTTCAGAAAATTAAGAGAAAGACATTCAACTAAAAATTAACAAATTTTTAAAATAAAAAATGTTTATTTTATTAAATAAATCTACAAAAAAAATTCGTGACAAATTTTGTAAATTAAAATATATTGACCTTTGTCACAGTCCAACACTGTCAAGAGAAATTTAAAAATTCAATTATTATATGTGATCATAGACTTGACCGTGAAAAAGGCAGAACGAAATTGTATCTCGCGGAAAGTGGGGTGAGGTGGAAATTAGATTGGCGCATTGCAGGTACCACGTTCTCAGCTGCTGTATCTAGTTACACTAAATTTCAATTAATTATTTACAATAACTATATTTCCAATCATTATATTCAAAAAAATTTTTAATTTCTTTGAAAAATTAATCGTCTTTATATATATTACTTTTGAGCCAAAAATTTATAAATGTAAATTCAAAAAAGAAATTTATTTAAATATTGTTTCTTAGTGTTGAATGTCTTAACTCTTTTAAATGTAAAGAAAAAAAAATAATAATTTGAAATCTTATAAGTAGGTATACTTTTATAAATTTAAAAAAAAATGATACTAGATATAGTGCTATAAACTTTGGATTTCTAATATCACTATAACTACATTTTACCAAATATAGTATAGATAGACGAAAAATTATAGAATAAAAATATACACTGCATAATGCATATCTATACCTATATATATAGACGTCTAGATAAGTAAATAAAAGCTTTGAAGGTGTTCGCTTTAAAAATATAGACTGCACTTTGTATAAATAATTAGGTTTCATTGAAAAATAAATAAATTAATTAAATATTTTTTAAAATCAACTATAGAATAAGTAAGCTCATTAAATATTTTTACCAATAATTAATTATACAATCATTCCTTTTTCTCTTTTTTAAAATAATAAATTTTTTATTTTAAAAGAAATACATAATAATGTTTTTTTAATAAAATCAATTTAAAAATGTTTTACTGAAATTGTATAAAGAAAATTTCCAATGTATATGTAAAAAGCAAGAGATATTTTGTGAAAGTAAGACTTCGAATAAGATATTGAAGATTTGTACAATATATTAATAATTACAAGAGTGGGTCGATTTTTTGTTGTTATTGTTGAAAATAAAAAAAAATATGTTGATAAGATTGGAAATTATTTGTTATGTCACTTTTCAGATCGTGACAAATTATATGTAAAGCTTATTATTTTAAAAAATATAAATAAATAAATCATTGTTATTGCCGTTTATGTATTATGTTTATTTTACCCCTCCTTTTATTTTATTTTAATTAATATTTAATTTAATAAAATTATTCAAAAAAGTAAAAATTTTTGAAAATGTTAAATAATATGTAATTTACAGCAAATTATTATAAAGTATTTGTGATATTTGAATTTCAATTATAAATTAAAAAAAGAATTTTTAAAAAAAAATTCACCATCGAATGATAAAGAAATCTCTTAGGATATAGTAAATTTCTATTTTACTGGCATATGATGTTCATTTACTGATAGTAAATAAAGTTATTTTCTGTGAGTGTACATCATTGTTCATTTATGTTTTCCTCAGACAATGGTGTACATTCAAATCAAATAATAATTAAAAAAAAAATAATTAAAAGTTGTAAAAAAAACTTAATTTGTTAGTATTTATTTTTTTATTAAAATAATTGAATTGTTATATTTAATTAAATTATTATTTATTAATAATAAAAATTAATATTTAATTTAATATAATTATTAGTTTAATAAAAAAATATTATTTTACATTTTAAGGTGAAAAACCTTCCTCAAAGCTAAACTAAACCTACTTCGATTTAGGAGCAATGAACGGTAAACGGATGTCAAAAAACTTTATAAAAGGATTTCGATTCAGGGCCACGAAACAATAAATATTAATTAACCCTCTTAATTGAGGATTAAAAAAAAAATTTAACTCACTATAGTACTTAAAATAAAAAAAGGGTTTAGTTAAAAACAACTCACCGATTGCTTCCTTATCGCGAAACCATAGCCGCTATCCCTCCTTCTAAGCTTCAATGTAGTAATCGTGGGTCCCTGGGATGTCCTTATCCATTGTTCATATCACACACACACTTCAATTAACACTACGAAAATTAAGAATATATTTCCCGTAAATTTTAAACATCAAACTGAAGCGATCTAAACGATATTGTAATTATCACTCAAAAAATTGAAAAACATCCGCATGACAATAATTTTAATTGCAGAAATTTATTCACATCACTATTTCGCAAGGAACAACTCGAGAAAAACAATAAACGACAATCGGAAGGGTATTGAAGCTCAATTCTTAAAATATTAAATAATTTTAAGTGAAATTTCCAAACACTTTAATAATTTTCTTTACATTATATAATTAAATAACGCTATAGTAAACTAGTTGCGCCATTTGTTATTAAGAGAACAAACAAATTTGTACCAGTAATACCAAATATTAGTTTTGTAGCTCTCATTTACATTTACAACCTACCATTCCGACTGCCAGTCAGCAACTGAGGCGCTACAGTCGCCGTGGTTTAGACTCGACTGGGCCTGATTGGCTCAGCGCTAGAACCTCAGAAAGAGCGCTCAGGGCATCTGAGTGGGGGAAATACTCGAATATGACGGTTAATCGAATATTAATAATCAATATCTTTAAAATTTCACAAATATTATTATTTATCATAATATATTTTAACATTCACAAATATATTCACACATCACTATTTCATAAAGAACTCGATAATTAAACAAGTTTAAAGAAAACTCAATTTAATCCGCACACACGATAAGCACTATGCTTCCGAAACTTTGACAATGAACATAACGACAATTGGAAGGGAATTTATAGCTTAATTGTTCAAATTTATTAATTAACACGAAAAACAATGAATAATATTCACTTCGTTATTATTAAAAAAAATCTGTCAGTATTAAATAGTTTGAAGTATCCTGAAATTTCCAAACACTTTAATAATATATTATTCATAATTAATAATCTTTCAAGTAGATTACAAATATACAGATAACGCTATAGTAAACTAGTTGCGCCATCTGTTATTAAGAGAACAAGTTTGAGCCAGTATTTTTTTTTAAGCAGCACAGATCCTATATCGTGAAGAGTCAACTGCTTACTGAAGCGCTTGAAAAAAAACAACCTATATTTATAGACGTTGGCGGCAAGAGCCCCCCACCAGTCTATCGCAGTGAATGCCCGGTCCAATCAGCGCACGGCAGAGTCACTCGCAGACAAAGTCGAAGTATAAAAGTTAAACCTCCCCTCCGTGCACAATCAGTTCCAACTTGGACGTCTTAGAAGAAGGATCTGTGTCGCTTCAACAAATTTTTTTAAACAATTTTTAATTCAACAATCATTGATGTTCCCCACCTTTTTGCAGTAGAAGAAAAGAATTTCAGGACCAAAGAAAAAATAAATGCTTTTAAACACCAAGAAGTTTGACAATACAGGTAATTCTGTCGACATTAATAGCATTGAATAACTAGATATTGTTAAATAGAGTGGGTTAATTAATTACATTCTCATCATAATGAGAAAGTATTACATTTGCCCGATTTTGACCAATATCTAATTCTTGTGAATCTCCACGTTTCAAGACATCCTGATGCCAAAAAAATAGGTTTTAAACAAATGTTTGTCTGTATGTATGTATGTATGTATGTATGTATGTCTGTATGTCTGTAGACAAAAAAGTTGTCTCGACGATAACTTGAGTAAATTTTAATTAATCGACCTCAAATTTGGTATACACTTTAAGTGTACCAAAATCTCGCCTGAGTTCGTTGGCCAGATGATTTCATCAAAAATCAACAAAATTATTCAAATTTTGAGTTTTTAAAAATTTCAAAAATTCACATTTTTCAAAAAAAAAATTTTTTTAATTTTTTTTCGAAAATTACGACTAAAAATAAACACTTTTTTCTTTTGACAATTTTTAATAGCGATTAAAACAAAAAAGTTATACCACTTTTTTAAAAAAAGACAAAAAATGACAAAAACCTATGAAAAATGGGTAAAATGCAGAGCAAAATCACTTTATTTTGAAAAAATGTGTTCAAATATGTATTATTTCTCTTTAAACCACCTTCAATTAACATAAATTAAAGTAACTTACTCATAATATTTCGAATTTTATTTTTTTTTTTTTGAATTTTTTTAATTAAAAATTTGTTTTTACATTCTCATCATAATGAGAAAGTATTACATTTGCCCGATTTTGACCAATATCTAATTCTTGTGAATCTCCACGTTTCAAGACATCCTGATGCCAAAAAAATAGGTTTTAAACAAATGTTTGTCTGTATGTATGTATGTATGTATGTATGTATGTCTGTATGTCTGTAGACAAAAAAGTTGTCTCGACGATAACTTGAGTAAATTTTAATTAATCGACCTCAAATTTGGTATACACTTTAAGTGTACCAAAATCTCGCCTGAGTTCGTTGGCCAGATGATTTCATCAAAAATCAACAAAATTATTCAAATTTTGAGTTTTTAAAAATTTCAAAAATTCACATTTTTCAAAAAAAAAATTTTTTTAATTTTTTTTCGAAAATTACGACTAAAAATAAACACTTTTTTCTTTTGACAATTTTTAATAGCGATTAAAACAAAAAAGTTATACCACTTTTTTAAAAAAAGACAAAAAATGACAAAAACCTATGAAAAATGGGTAAAATGCAGAGCAAAATCACTTTATTTTGAAAAAATGTGTTCAAATATGTATTATTTCTCTTTAAACCACCTTCAATTAACATAAATTAAAGTAACTTACTCATAATATTTCGAATTTTATTTTTTTTTTTTTTTTTTGAATTTTTTTAATTAAAAATTTGTTTTTACATTCTCATCATAATGAGAAAGTATTACATTTGCCCGATTTTGACCAATATCTAATTCTTGTGAATCTCCACGTTTCAAGACATCCTGATGCCAAAAAAATAGGTTTTAAACAAATGTTTGTCTGTATGTATGTATGTATGTATGTATGTATGTCTGTATGTCTGTAGACAAAAAAGTTGTCTCGACGATAACTTGAGTAAATTTTAATTAATCGACCTCAAATTTGGTATACACTTTAAGTGTACCAAAATCTCGCCTGAGTTCGTTGGCCAGATGATTTCATCAAAAATCAACAAAATTATTCAAATTTTGAGTTTTTAAAAATTTCAAAAATTCACATTTTTCAAAAAAAAAATTTTTTTAATTTTTTTTCGAAAATTACGACTAAAAATAAACACTTTTTTCTTTTGACAATTTTTAATAGCGATTAAAACAAAAAAGTTATACCACTTTTTTAAAAAAAGACAAAAAATGACAAAAACCGATGAAAAATGGGTAAAATGCAGAGCAAAATCACTTTATTTTGAAAAAATGTGTTCAAATATGTATTATTTCTCTTTAAACCACCTTCAATTAACATAAATTAAAGTAACTTACTCATAATATTTCGAATTTTATTTTATTTTTTTTTTTTTTGAATTTTTTTAATTAAAAATTTGTTTTTACATTCTCATCATAATGAGAAAGTATTACATTTGCCCGATTTTGACCAATATCTAATTCTTGTGAATCTCCACGTTTCAAGACATCCTGATGCCAAAAAAATAGGTTTTAAACAAATGTTTGTCTGTATGTATGTATGTATGTATGTATGTATGTCTGTATGTCTGTAGACAAAAAAGTTGTCTCGACGATAACTTGAGTAAATTTTAATTAATCGACCTCAAATTTGGTATACACTTTAAGTGTACCAAAATCTCGCCTGAGTTCGTTGGCCAGATGATTTCATCAAAAATCAACAAAATTATTCAAATTTTGAGTTTTTAAAAATTTCAAAAATTCACATTTTTCAAAAAAAAAATTTTTTTAATTTTTTTTCGAAAATTACGACTAAAAATAAACACTTTTTTCTTTTGACAATTTTTAATAGCGATTAAAACAAAAAAGTTATACCACTTTTTTAAAAAAAGACAAAAAATGACAAAAACCTATGAAAAATGGGTAAAATGCAGAGCAAAATCACTTTATTTTGAAAAAATGTGTTCAAATATGTATTATTTCTCTTTAAACCACCTTCAATTAACATAAATTAAAGTAACTTACTCATAATATTTCGAATTTTATTTTTTTTTTTTTTTTTTTGAATTTTTTTAATTAAAAATTTGTTTTTACATTCTCATCATAATGAGAAAGTATTACATTTGCCCGATTTTG